AGGGAGCAGAGGGAGGCAGCCTACACAGTAACACATAGACTGGATGAAAAATGGTAAAGATATTGATAGTAATGATAATGACAGCAGGCAGGGTGAGCCCAAACACAACAGGGATACAAACAGGACTCTTCAGCTACAGAACAAGCTGAACAGACTTTTCCCAACAAACACAAGGCTGTCAAGGTTCTGTGTTAATCTGTGATCCACCCGTTCCACTAAGTAATAGAGGATTGAAGCAAATAAGAGGGAGCTCATGTTTAGGTATCGCGTTGCTTTATAAGTTTCAGATTTTCACAAGGTCGTTTTATTTTACACCTAAGATGTCAACAGGTGTCAGGAGGAAATGTCATGCCATTGTTCCCAAGCCCACGGAGAGAAATGCAATTCTATTTGATTGAGCTTGATTTATTCATCTGTCTGGTACATTCTTCTAATCTCTTGTAAGTACCGTCAAAGTTAAAAATGTCACAACGGTGTGGAGATGAGTAAAGGAAGGGTGGAGAAGAGCAGAATCTGCCTCACACAACGTTTTCGTTGTGCTTGTCTGTTCATTGAAAGATCAAAACTCAATTGGACTTGTTTTGGATATGTTGTATTTCTATAATGAAAGCAGAGAGGGTGTCTGTCTGTAGAACCCAAACTATGAGCCTCATCCTTAGGAAGGGAGCCCCACAGGTTTAAACTGAACCCTTTTCGTCTTTCTACTTCCCACTGTGTCGCTGCTCTTCTCTTAATAACTGAAACTGGTAGTTGGGCCTGTTTTGATTATCTTCCCCCAGACGCAAAATTACATTGAAATGACAGTAACGATTACTATTACTGATGTTAGTCATCTGAAAAGTAAACAAGATGGGTTTGGAATGAGATGAAACCAATAATCTAAATACCAGTGCCATTTTGTTTCAAAACTAGAAAAAATATTTATTGACAATAATATGACAAAAAAAAGCAGAATGAGCTCTCCAAGTTCCAATTAGCAATTTATTTCTACCCACACCAGGAATGAGGCTGCAGACAGGTCAGGTTCAGGTTGGTGATGACAGCTGACAGTTGCCTGAAGCCTCCTCATCTCTTAGGCAGGATTAGGTCACCTCTATCTACAGGAAGTAGTAAATTTATTCCAAACATGTAACTGTAGAATGCTCACACCTTAAAAAAAACGTTCACCTGCAGTGATGTGGCATCCAAATGAAACCACATTGACAGATTTTCCAGGAAGAAATGTTGCTAAAAGAGGGAAACTAGCCTCTACTTGTACTTTTCTTCAAATTGTGTGGGTATATATGCAAAGACTGAAACAGGTTCATATTAGTGCTCTGTTGCCAGAAAAAAAAGACGTTGAATAATTAATCCCTGTTGAGCGGTTCAACAGTTTGTCAATTCATTTTCAAAACCCCTACGCAACTCCAAATTCCTGAAGAAACATGGGCCAAATTTTCTCTTGATTTAAATTTGAGCAGGGGAGAGGTTTTGCGAGCACAGGGAAAAAGAAAAATTAAATTGTCTTTCTTTTTAACATGGTGAGAATATCTTAATAGTCACAAAATCCTAACTTTTTTGGAGTAGTGCAATCACCAGCACCTGCCAGGGTTCTCTGGGCTAAATCAAAGATTTCTGGCAGCATTTAAGTCGATTCAAGCCTAAACCCTCTTCCTTGCACTGTAAAGGGTCATTACAGAGAGGATGATGGCTATCGGGCTTCGCCCCAGGGGGGGTTGATCACACATCCCATCTCTGAAGAGACCTCCTTTCCAAGCTGCTGCCAATTACTTCGTGCTCAAGTGTGTCTGGACCAGTCGACATTCAAAAGCAACTGATGGAGAAAAGCTCTGCAGAATGTTCTCATTTCCCCTGTCAGAGCTAAAATGCCCGCCAATCTAAATTTGTGACTATGTGCCGTCATATCACAAATATTCAGCATTATGAATATATATCTATTTTGAACTATTTCTATTTAACCATCTACCTCTCCTCTCGTCTCATCTGCAGTTTCAAATAAAAAGATATCTATTTCTATTAGTCTTAATCTTTCAGTTCAATTTGACTTTGTGGTGTTGTTTGGTTTTGCTCCAGCTGCCGGTTCCCTGGAACACAGCGCCCCCATGTGGATCAGAACTGCCAGTGAAATTATCTCAGGAGAAACCAAATTCTATAAATCCTACCTTTCAGTTTTCTGTGAGGCTCATAACTGAGCATAAAAACACATTCATTGATGATATTAAGCACAAATAATAAAATTAATTTTTTGAGTAGTTACACTGAAGCAGTGATATTAAAGGTGAGATCACTTTTTTTAGTTGAGTTTTGGTCTTTGTGGTTGAGTTTTGAGATTATCTTGTGCTTTTGATTATTCAGGTATTCTGTCTAACCTTTGAGCTTGCAGTTCCTTTGTTCTTAGTCTGTTTGAGTTTTAATGATTATGGTGATTTTGTACATCTTGTTATGTTTTTATGTTGTTTCCATGGTTCTAGTTCAGTTATCTTTCTATGTTTCTCTTTTTTTTCTTTCACTCTAGTTGCAGTTATCCTCAGCGTTGTTTCCTGTTTTTATTTCAAGTATTCATGTTCAGTTAATCTTTTTGTATATTTGATTAATCTTATTGTATATTTAATGCAAATATGGATGCACTTTCAAAAAAAGTACCATGCATCTTTAAGCCTTACCAGGAAACCTTTCAACCACCCAACTGTTCATAATATAAATACAGCAACATAAAATACAGCAGAGATGTTGGTTTTCATGTCAAGTTAAAGCTACAAAGTACATGTCAACCCTCAGAGGGATATCTAAACGAGGGCTGCCAAACGTGTTGGAGAAAGACAATTGAGGTGATTGAGGTGCATCGGCATCAGAGAGTCAGTCATTTCATTCCATTTATTATTTGTAGAGAAATCTGCTTGTTATAAAAACAACACACACACATTTTGATGCATTTATCATTTTATTGACAGTTCTGTAAAATAGAACACATCACTCCCTGACCAGAACAGCCCATTTTTCCTCCTCATTACTCAATTCAATAAATCACTTCAATTGAATGTATTTTTTTCTGCATTTATGCTTTTTAAGAAGTTACAATGTCTATCTGTGTTGCATACATTTACTATGCAGTAATAGCCCCCTTTAGGAGTTTAACGCAAACTGAAGTTAAATGAACATACTGTACATAAATGTATGATCCTACAGCAGGATACCTAGAATAACTTACATTCAGATGAAGACACACACATACAGGCAAAAAACACGCCAACAAGCACACACATGCCAACTCTTAGTTGTTTCAGTCTTGCTGTTTGTTCTTAGATACATTTTTTCTCCTAAAAACTGTCCCGCTGTCATGTGTAGGAGACAGGGTTCTGTACTGCTGTGTTAAAGGGAAACTAATCTAGGAAGCCTGAAATGTTCACACTGTAACCACGTCCACCATAAAAGGATAAAAGTGTGGCCAAAAAAAATTCAGTCAGTAATTATTACCTTTCTGATTCCATCTGCAAGCATCACACTCACTGTATGCCCTCATTGGTCCAGGTCCACTGAGGATAAACCCTGAACATGACGGGTCACATCCACTTTTTAAGTTCAATATAACAGCAGTCCTGTTAGTTTGTGGGCTTGTGGAACTGGGTCAGCGTTACAAAAAAACTTCCCATCAGCAGCAACTGGTTCAGATAAAATTAACATCTGAGTGTTTCAAGTCACTGATACACATCGTTGGTGTGTGTGGATCTGATTCTGCTATGAAGCCCATTTGTGGGGAGACAAGACGCACACTTGAAAAATGAAAAAATAAATACATACCGATCAACACAAAAACATGTTTCAAAACTGATCTCCACTTCAATATTTAGTGAGAGACCCGGTTTGTTCAGCAGTGCCTGAGGCAGATGCACGTCCTCATACTCTCAGCTGTCGCATCTCAAACAGTTTGAACTAAAAGGAGAGTAAAAGAAAAAGTCTTTTTGAAGAAAAGAGAATGTGGCGCTTCTCTCGCATCTCAAACACAGACTGTGGGCACGTTCAGACGCAAACTCATGGAGTTGCGCGATTATTCCCCATAAAGCTCTATTGCACACCACATAACAAAAGGCTAATTCAAACACCAACTAAATACAACAAATCAGATACTGTGTGTTTGTTTGTAGGCACATAAGAACATTCAGTCACAGCGAGAAGACATATTAAAGCCCCAATCTGGGTTATTTTGGACAGTACAGTATTGGAGAGGTGGGAAACGGCTGCTGGTAGAAAATAATCTCCACGGTCATAGGGTCATTGTATATCATAGTATAACTATCATATAATTACAATGAAGAACAATGCAAATATAAGCAACCAAAAAATATAGTGCAATGGAAATTCCATAATTTTAGATCTAAAAAAAATGCCACAATAACCTGAATAAAAGATGACTCTGTCAAACGTAATGCCATCTAATGTTTTCAACAAGGCCAGCTCATATCACAAAGACCTCAAGTAAAAAACGGGTGGAACAGCAGTCTCAGTATCTTTGGGCAGTTTTGAAGGATGTCCAATTCAAAAAGCAAAAACAAAGAAAAAAAATATGCAAAATTACCGTTGGACAGTTACTGTCCTGAAATACAGTGCGTGCCCCCAGTCTCTTCCTAAATGACCCTGGTCAGGGTTGAGAAACCCGACCAGAAAAACAGCAAGTTGGGGGAAATATGTGTTGAATACCCCTCAGATTGGGCCTTTAATATCATACTGCTATATGCCACATCACTTGCATATACAGTACAATATGTAGAAACTGAGGCAGAGAAAGGCAGCCCGGTCCGTCTCCGTTAGTCCGGCCTGACGGTGGATGAGAATGACACAGTGAAACAGTTCCAGCCGTTGCTGCTTTTACCCCCCCCCCCTCCTGTTGCTGTTCACGTTGGCCCGTGGATGGATTGTAGCGGTCAACTTCACAGGAGGATTGCTTTGCAGTTAAATGTGCGATTTGGTTTCTTAAATAATAAACGTACGCGTCATGGGGAGCGCTACTGAATGTGTGAGCGTGTGTGTTGTCTGCGCCGCTCTCTCACTGCCCGTGTCGGTTGTGTTGTGGAATCCTGGAAATCGCCCGCTGGGCAGGTGTGGCGCTCCTCAGCGGTCAGCGGTGGGTGTGTTCTGTCCCGGGTGTGGTGTGTGTGTTCCGTTTGTGAGGTTTGGCCTGGGTGTGGGATGAGTGCACAGGCCGGACCTCCCGGATCTTTCATGGCCATGCTGGCCCCCACCATGGCGGGGTAGCTGCGGTTCCTCCTCAGCCCTGCGTTCAGACCCGGCAGACCGCCACCCAGGGCGCTGCTCCCCAGTCCGGCCGAGCCAAAGGGGGCCAGCAGGGCAGTCCCGGAGGAAAGCGAGGCGGAGAGAGGGGAGAGTGTGCGGAAACGTTTCAGTTTGTCCACAAGTCTGAGGTTGCTCATCTCCGTTTGGCTCTCGGAGTCAGTCGGGCCACCCTGCTCTTTTTCCAAATCACTGAGCACCTCCCTTAGGATGGTGCGAGCCGGTTTGGAGGCGAGGAAGGCATCGTAGTACGGGGGGTTATCGCTAGGGGGGCTGAACTGAAACATGGGACACATCTCGGTGGGGGAGGCGGACCTGGAGTGAGGCGAGCTGGGTGGAGTGGAGGGCTGGAGGAGGAGGAGTGTGTCCGGCCTTTTCGCATACTGTCTGACCTCTCGCTCCTCTGGTCTGGCCGTGCACCTCTGGCCCTGAGCTCCCCCGGGGGCCTCCGAAGCTCCGCCGGAGCCCAAGGCTCGGTCCCAGCTGCGCGGGTTGTACACTGAGGAGGAAATCCCGTGGTCCTGGAGGAGCCGAACCAGGCCAAGAGAGGTGCTGGTGGTCTTGGTGGAGTCCCTCAGGTTGGTGGAGGACTCGGCTAAAGAGTGGGAGAGGGAGAGGCGGCGCGGCGTGCAGCAGGGGGTGTAGGAGGGGGTGGGCGGGGCCGAGAAGGGGACAGGGGAGGGAACGTGGGCAGGGGTGCCGACACTACTGCTGCTCTGACAGGCCGCCATGGCCGGGCTGGAGATGAAAGAAAGAAGAGGGAGGGCATAAAAGAGGATAATAGCAGAATGGACACAGAAAAAGATAAGCAGATATTGGTTTAATGAGCAGGGTGATGAGCTCCTGAAAATGTTGTATTGTTGTAGATGAGAAATAAAAAAAAAAAAAGAATAAAGCATTGCACAAAAGGCTATGTGATTATATTTTAACATTTTTCTAAGGTTTTGTTAGAGAAATTTGAAATAAAAATGAACACTGTGTGTTTATTTTAACCACACCATCATTTGTTGTTACCAGACTGAAGGAACACGTGATGACAGCAATAACATGCACTTATGTTTGTATCTAAATCTTTTTTTGATGGGTTAAGAATGCATGGCTAACATTATGGAACCACTTAGAGGGCTTCAATGATCATTCAAATCTTTTTTTTAATAAAAAATTCAAAATAAAGATGAACATTTTCTTCAATAAATATAGACGAAAACAGCTTAAAAATTATTTTCTGCTCTTTTCCTGGTGAAATAAAGGACATCAGGAATCAAAAGGTACAGCTCCATGTACCTTGTGAAAAGAGGAATTCTTTGTGGAGTGCAGGGATTAAAACCAATTTTCATCATTCAGGTTCCAAACCTTTGTCGAAACTTCTGTTTGTTCCAAACTAACAGAACAGCTTTCAGAACTTTTTCTTCCCCCCATGTCACCATAAATATTCAGTCAGAGTGAGCTCTGAGCCATTTATTTGTTATCCCAATGGCCGGATGACCTTAGTTTAATCATCAGCTCCTGATTGATGGAATTAAATATGTATCCCCGATGTAAAATTTCAACTGTGCATTAGGCATGCTTAAAAAAAGTAATTTTTTTCAAACAAATCAAATGGTTTCATGCTGTATCTGTGTTTTAAAAGAAAATAAGCTGAATGAGCATCCTCCAAAATCCTGAATTTCTGTCAGGGGTGGTCCCAAAATTTGACTGAGTAGCGTTTGCTGTGAACTTTAAGACAGACGGAAGTTCCAGACACTCTGACAGGAGGTGTTCAGGGTGAACCACTATTCAGGGCTGAGACTAAAAGCAACCAACAGATTTTCATTCAAACAAAAGACGAGACTAAAATGTTAGTCTCATGAGTGATTTGTAAGTTTAGAACAGCCAACCATGGCGATAAAAAAATAGTTACCACACGGTTCAACCAGAGAGGAGAGTTAGTCATTCCTGCTGTTATTCTGGCTCACACACACTGAAGAGCCTTTAAAGACGCACTACCATGCACTTCTCACCCATGTGCACACTCGTAGGTGCACTCAATGGGTCTGCTCTACTTCAGCCATGACAACCATATGATACAACTCCAGTTCCTCGTCCTCATCACATGACCTGTCAAGCCAATCAAACAGCAGGGACAAAGAGCACGTGAGCCAAGTCACAGTCACAATCCATTTTGGAAGCAAATGAGGAAAAACTCAGCCGCCATTTCATTAAGGCTGAGTCAAGCAATCTGCTGCGGCCAACGGGAGGGAAATAGGAGGCGCTGGCTTCTGTTTCTTGAGCTAAGATTAACTTAAATCTGACTGCCTGCCAAGCTAACTGCAGCTTTAATGGTCTAGTATATAAACGAAGAAAAAAAAAAGAGTTAAGTTAAAGCGCAGTTTCATAAAAGTATCAGAGGGTGGATTTACCTGGGGGACACAGACGTCAGCTGGTCAGAGGGATGCAGGATCCTGCAGGTGGTGAAGGTGTATGTGGAGCTAGTACTGGACATACACTTCCCTGGGAAATTAACTGCGGAGGAACAACAGGAAAGGTCGTTAGTTGACACTAAATGCCGGGCTGCAAAAAAGCACTGCGCAGGACAGAGTGGGAAAAACAGGTCTCAGTCATAGTTTATGACCCAAGCAAAAGCACCAGAAATCAGCCCCCAAATCTCAGTCACGAATCAGACCAAGACTTTTGGATTTTTCTTCAGTGAGATTTGGTAGCTTACAGTGATCATTAAAAAGAGAATAGATGAATAACATTACACTAAATCCAGACTGACACTGCTGTCAATCATTAAGATTTGAGTATCCACCAAGGGCAAGGGCCACTCCGAATAAACAAGTAGTTTGTAAATATATGCTACTCAGGAGTTTGACCAGACATGTGAGCATGCCTTGGTTTACAGGAGCTGTGTAAGTCATTTTTGGGCCATGTAGGAGCACTGTGTCTGTACAAAGGTGACCTTCTACCGGAGCCACAAGGGGCGGTTCCAATATTAACCAGCCATAGATGTCATGCCTTTCATATGACTTGAACAGCTGCGCTAATAACACCTGATACAGGCACATGCACGAGCATTAAGCCCACACAGCCGCGGTATCTGTATATCTGCATGCCCCGCTGGCGTTTAAAGGGTTCATTGAATCAAATCGGTTAGTCTAGCTTCTGAAGAACTGCCAGTTAGGGTGTGTTGTTTCATCGGAGGGAGAGCAGTGTTGAAGACAGGAAAGCAAATTTGATTGGGCCAAAGGAAAAGCTAAGAGTGGTGGTGAAAAAAGAAATAGCAGGAACTGAAAAGGGAAGAAGAGGTAAATGAAATTATATATATATATAAAAAAATACTTTGTCTTGATGGAGCTCAACTGCTGCGGGGGCTGCCTGGGGACGGGTGGCTGTGCACACGGGGGTGTAAGTATCAGACAGGAAAGGCCGTCACTTTCTGACAGGAAAGCTCGTTAGTCTTTCTGATTTTGAGATGTCCACCGAATGCCTTCCTTTCCTCAACCTCACCACCCCGCCCTTTCCTCCTATTCACATTCCCTCCCCCCGCCCCCCATGCTTTGGATAAGGGTTTTGAGGGCAGTTGTTGCGCTGTGACTCCGGCTAAGACGCTCCCTCACCAGGCATGTGGTCCATAGTGGAGGCCTGCAGGGCTTGGAGCTCCTTGAGGTCCACATGACCGTTCATCTCAGAAGGAGAGGGGAGACAAAGGGAAGGGGAACATCGGGAGAGGGGAGAGGGCAGGCTTGCTAAATGTCCGTCTTTTCCTTGAGCTGCCTCTTTGGCTCCAGAGGGTGCTTCGTGCAGTCCCTCTGATTGGCTGTTGCGATCGCCCTCTCTGTTGCGGCAGACAGAAGGGGTGGAGGTAGAGCAAGGAGGACCCAATGGAGCGGCGCTCTCTTCCGACAAGCATACGAAGGAGTCACACGACAATTCATCTTCTTCGGGTTGATCCATCTGCCATCCGTCCTCCTGCTCCTGCTCCTGCTCCTGCTCCTGCAGTAGCGAGCGGAAGCCCTTCGTAACCACGCCGGGCCGGTGATCCAGCAGGGCGCCCATGTGGGGCTGAGCCAGCTGCTGCCACGCATGGAGGGTAGCCGAGCCTGGAAAACACAAACAGCCTCCAGTTACACACATTCACTCAGTAAGGCAGTCTCCACGATACACGCACACACAACTAGCCATCATACACACACGATACACTTGGAAGTTGTTTGATACCCAACAACACAGATGGATTTCAAAAGGCTCACTGGTGGTGATTGCACTTTTTCTGGTCCAAAAATGACCCGTTCATGATTTCTTGAGATAATCAAAGCTTCCACTAATGAATGGCATTTAAAGAAAGCGACCCTGGTGTAGTGTTCCTATTCCTATTTTACCAAAACATTAAAGAGAACAATGCTGTCTGCAGGCATAGAGTTGTTATATCTCCTCAGAAAAGGTGGTTAAAAGCACAGAAGGCAACTCCATTGTAGAAGTTTGTCGCACAGATAGGAAAGACAGACCGACATGTATTCGTGGGTTATAACATAGCCACAATATTTTCTTCATGCAGTGTGTACCTACAGATGGCACACAAAGACATACTAGGAAATTTAAAAATCTAATTAAAGTTTCCCTGCATTCAATCTGCAGTTTTCTTGTGATAGATGCGGGGAGGTGTCAGTACAGTGGCTTAACACACACACCGGGGAAATAAGAGAAAGGGAAGGTGAGAAAATTAGTCAAATTTTATTCAGGAGTTCATCAACAAAGGAAAAACACGAGATGAACAGAAAAAAGGAGTAAAATGCAAAGACTGAAATGAAATGAAAGGCAACATGAGAGTGGTGGAGCGTACAGACCGAAATAAGGCAGAAATGAGAGAAAGAATACAGCTGGCTTTTAAAGGGTTTGTGAAAGTCATGCTACAGGAGTTGTAGAGATGTGTGTATACTGGAACTGTGAAAAACTGAAATCATGCAAAGAAAGGCAACTCATACAGACATAAAGAAAAGTGTAAAAATGTGAGAATGACGCCACATTTTCTATCAGATCTAAACCAACTTTCCAACACAAGATAATATCTCCTTCAATATTTCATAATAACATGTGCTTCTATATTCACTGTAAATAACTGTGTTAGTTGTTGTAACTCTGACTGAGCACTAAGTGGCGCCACAAAAGAGTAAATATGAAATCACTCACTCCTGCTACTGTAAAAGAAAGCCTCAGAAAGTGACACGTCTGGTCTACATATACTGGCTGCTACACAAACCCTGAAATAGGACAGATTTCTACAAACTCCACAACCAATTTAGGAAGGAATATGATAATAAAAAATTCCCCTATTGGAAAAAAACACATCTTTAAACTTCCTGCTATCCTGTGATCTATATTTCGAACCAGCAGCGGGGCTGTGCATGCCTGAAATAGAAGGAGTGCTGAGCATTCAGACTGCCTTCCTGTTGTTCCAGCACCTGCAGAAGGCCTGCGACCACAGCCAGAGGCGCTCGGAGAGGATTCGGAGAGCTCGACAGGCTTTGAGCCTCCAACAAACTGGAGCTCCTCCGCATCCTGTCAACATCCAGCGAGGAGCTCAGAAAGACTTTGGACTGATTCTGCCTTTGCAAAAGTAAATACTGGTTCTGGTGCGGATTGGCTGGGCTTTGGGTTTGGTAAATTTGGGTGTAACTCTGAGGACTACTTTGAATGATTATGGAAATCTCGCCAACATTCTGGTTTAGATGGGGTTCTTTGCTGTTACTCAGGTTATGGGTTTGTTTTTCTTGATCAGTGGACTTGTGGCTCTGAAAAGGATAATCACCTTCCAGCGGCTTTACAATCTGCAGCTTGTCCGGCAGGTAGGACCTCGGTGTGAATGAATAACCCGACCAAGCACTTCCGAGGGAGGGATGCGAGCACAGCGACAACAGGCTCTCCGTCGGGGTCCCTGGGCCTCCGCTCCCCTGCCCGTCTTCTTTTTCATCCTCTTTTGCGAGGTAGGCCAGTTTTCGCTCCCTCTCTTCCTCAAAGAAGCGCTTCTCTGAGAGGTAGTTGTCACGGCGGAGGGACAGGCGGCGCAGGGCTGCCTCCAGGTCCCTGCTGCCCGGGGTCCCCGGTGTACCGGGGGGGCGCTTGTTAGAATCCTGTGACCTGCAGGGAGAAGTTCAGCAAGGAAAGAGAAGAAGGAACAAGGAAAAAAACGGCCAATGAGGAACTGCAGAAAGATGCCAATTATTAACTTGTCCTGTTTAATCTTTCAGTCAAATTCTGGCAGTTTACTATCTGAGTTGACTTCACAAAGTTAGGGGGAGATTAGAACTGTTCTTTACCCATCGTCGGGATCCTCCAGGATACTGCCTGTCCTGTTGTCCAGGATGATCCCGATTCCTGTCTCGCTGCCGTAAATGGAGTTGGAGCGGGGCGTGCCCACCCTGCTGGAGCGCCCTGAGGTGAAGCAGGAGGTCTGGTTGGAGCCCGGGATGTTGAGGGGGGACGGGGCCGCGGAGGAGCGCTGCTGACGCATCAAGTTGAGATTTTTGACCGTCTGGAACACTCGCTTCGGGTGGAGCCTGTAAAACATCAAATCCAGAGCTAACGGCTACAAACCAAAGTGCCTTATGAGTAACACACCTCTTACGGTCAGATCTGGATGTACCTCTGCTCCTCTACATCTGGATCATCCATCTGAAGCTCCTTCCTCATGGTGCCCTCGATCTCTGCGGCCAGAGAGTCCTAAAAAAAGGAAAGTCTGCTGAGCTGTAATTGTGCCGGCAGATCGACAAAACAGTGTGTGGGCTGTAGAGGCGCGTCCAGCTGAAACCCTGCCAAAAACCAACCATGGGGAACAGGCCCAGGGAGTGGAAACGCCTGGAGGTGCTGAGCGGCAGAGTTTTATTCCTCAAGTTCTTCAGCTCCTCCTGAGCTTCGTGCAGCATTTCCATACACTCTGCATACTTGTCCTGCAGCTCGCACAGCTAGACACACAGAGTGGAAAAACGAATCAAATGAAACACGTGGCAATTTTCTGTAACACGAGGACAGCTTTTCCTTAACTGGTGATGTGCGAGCGGAAAAAGAGCCGGGAGGTGAAAGCGGGCGGGTTGTGGGTTTCCTTACCTCAGCAGTGAGCTGGCGCTGGGCATCTTTGGCAGCTCCCAGGTGCTGCGTCAGCTCCTCATTCTCCACCGCATACTATCAACACCAGGGGCGACACACACATGTGTCAGCGGGTGGGACAAATGCTGAATGCACAGTGCTATATTTTGGGGAAACGAAATCTGGCGTTTCATACAACTTTGGCCTTTTTCTGCAAGTCCACTATCTGGGAGAGGAGGTGCGTGATCTCCTCCTGCTGCCTGGAGGCGTCCTCCGTCTTTCTGGCAAGCTCTTCAGCCAGAGAGGAAACCTGCAGGTTGGCATCACCTGGGAACGGCAGCAGGTTTTACGTGAAGCAAATAAAATAAATGATAAAATAGAATAAAAAGGAAAAAACAGCCTTCTGCTTGCAGCCACAGCACTTTTGGAAAGCTCGTTCAAATGAAAGCAAAAGGAGCAGGGCTCAGATACTCACGCAATTCTTTGACACAGTCGTTGACCAGCTGCTGCTCTTTTTCCTCATAGCAGATAGTTTCTGTCTCCAAGCGATTTGCCTGGAGAGAAAAAAGCATCATGAAAAAAAAGCATCATGAGGCATATCTGGTTAGGGAAAAAGTCTAGACTGCTACACTAAACAATGAAACATTAAGTTTCTTACAACAGACCTGAGATACATTCATTGTTACTACCTAAAAAGTAATAGATGGAACATATCAGGCTCAATAAAGATTTCAAGATTCAATTTGACACAATGAGGCGACGGTGTCTGTACCGCAGAGCGTAGTGATTTGTTTTCATCTTCCAAATCCTGAAGTTTCTTCTGTAAGGAGTCCAGGGGGAAAACAGCTGGAGCTGACACGTTGGCTTCACTGGGACGCACGCTGTCAACACACACCTACGAGTTAAGCTCCGCCAGATCTTTATTTCAATAAAAAATGCCCAGATTTGTCCTCCCACGGATCGGGAGGGGACTCAAGAGACAGCTGGGCTTTTTTTTGTTTTTTTTGTTGCTTGCCTTTAATTTGAACCCAGCATTTGAGCAACAATACAGAGCACAGAGGTGACAGCTGTGGGAGAGAAAATTCGTTGTAAGCGGCTTACGGCGTGGAGCTGCTGGACTCCCCCTCGCTTTCCTCGGCTGCATGGGTGTAGAACTGCAACAGCTCGTCCTTCATGGACAGGTCATGGCGCAGCTGGGATACCTGTGCGTGCAAAAAATAAGAGACATTTGATTTGCATTGGTGATTTTCAGTGCAGCCATCGTGAAGAGAAGGCCTGAAGCCCTCTGGCTGCGTACCTCCTCTCGTATGTGCTCCACTTGCTCCTCCAGATACTCATTCCTGTCGCTGAGAACTTTGTTTTTCTTCAGCAGTGACTGTCCGATGCGTGCCGCTAACTCCAAGTCACGTTCTTTCTGTAAAAGAGAGTGAAAAAAAAGGCTTTTGTTTTCCACATCGATTTAAAATGATTTTTTTTTTTAAATCACCAAAATTTTAAGAATAAAGTTTTGATAAGTAAATTGGTCTTCATACCACTTTGGGTAAAGCAAAGCTAACAAGCTAAGTCTATGTGCTGTCCTTCAAGTGTTAGACATGATTCAAGTAACAAAAAAAGAAGGTTTGATGTAACAGAAACAAACAATAATATCAGCACGACCTCTTATTCGCCATGGAGCAGCAATGGAAACCTCCCATATGCAACTACGAAGCACCACTGAAGCCTTATTCATCTCTAAACCAACAGTCAGTACAGAAAGGGCTTACAGTATAAATAAGATACAAAACATATTCAGATAATATAGTACGTTACTGTGCAAGACAACAAACTTTGCACGGTCACAGCTTTAAAAATCTGCTGTCAAAGAAGGAAATCTTCCTTAATCATGGAGCAATCCTTTGGAAACCATGTTCAGGCAGCTGAATCTCATGGCTCATTCAAAGTTGATATTACCAGGCTCCTGCCTTCATTTCTGGCTGTTACTTAGCAGCTTAGTAAGATTGGTGCACTTTGACTATCAGCTCCTAGAAACAAAGTTTTATGAGGCTGTTATATCGAACCCTCTCCAGCCCTCACAGAGTCACCTGTGTGCTACGTGACAAGTGCTGAGACACAGCTCTTACCTCTTCCAGCAGTCGAGTGACGGCATCAATGTCGTTGTAGGTCTTTGTCATCTGGCCCACTCTGTCAGCACACAACACTACGGACACACAGAAAGAAAACTGCAAAGTAAGAAACTCCTAAAGGCGACTGGGGAAAAGCACTGACGAACGGACTGGGATCTTCTGAGTTTTTGTCGTTAAAAAACACTAAAACTCTCAAAACTCTTAAGTTTATCTTAAGTTTAAACCCATTTACGTTAAACAAAACAGAATACGAAAGGCTGTTCATTTTATTGAGCTGTTGTCTTTGTTAGGGAAGGTACTCGTATATAAATACATATTTTTATATATATATGTAATTGGAGTACATTAATATCATTAGTCATCCAGAAGTAAATTATCATTTATGCAATCCCAGTAAGATAATTCAAATAGCAACCGGAATTAACAAGAAGTGCTTAAGTGTTCCTTCTGACATCTCCTTTTGACCTCTTTTGTCCTGTTATAATTTCCTGAATCATATAATTTTCCAAAGAAACATACACACCCACTCTATCTACACCCTTAGTCCATTTCCCCGGAGTTAATTTAACAACTTTACAGATAAACTTGCGACATTTTAGCCGCAAGGTCGCGATCATTCGATGCTGACAAAATGAGTATGAAGATATGCTGGTTTACATCTATTTCAGAGCCGTCTCACACCTATCTTTAAAACCTTGAGCTGGCACACAGCTCAAGGCCTTCCCTCGAGGACAGAATGAGTTGATTATCAAAGATTCCAACTAACATTAGTAATATGTCAAAAGACAAACATGTCCCGCAGGGAACACCTAAAGCATCGTCAGCTCACAGGGCATCACAGGATGCAAAGGGAGCCGGTCCATGCAAAGTATGATATTTTCATATCCTCAGGCAGCACAGGCAGCATAAACCTGCTGGAAACAAAGGCCTGGACTGAGCCGGCATATTTTCCATCAGCAGCACCTATCATTAGATGGGCTGTTCTGTGTGTGCGCAAGCAGAAAATAAAAAAAGCCAAACCCAAAATCTAATCCGAAGAAAAGCTTTCATCCTGTTTGTTGAAAGCCGGCTGTTGCTGGAGAATGAAATCAGCATCTGGTCATTTGCAAACACGCGCGCACAGATAAGAAATATGCTTTCAATGGCAAAATGTTTGTATTCATTTGCGTTCTGGCCAGTTATGAGATTGTTAGCCTGATAGGTCAAGGTGTTGTCTGTTTGCCTGGCAGAATGCTCCGTAGCTAAGCCAGGTGAAATGTGATGATTAATGCTTTTACTGACTCACTTTATCAAACCATGTTAGTGACAAATGAGAGGAGAAGAATGAAAAGCATAACACAGGTTAAAGAAAGTAACTGAAATCTGTAAAGGGACCAGTCGACTAATATTGGAGGATGGTATGCGGAGGCTGTCTTGGCATTTTATCCACAGAGTTGGTAACTTAAGACAGACACTCCCCTTGTCCTTTGTGAGGCGAGGAGGATGATAATGCAGCTCTCGCTCAGTTCCCATGAAGCTTACGAAGAGTTACATACAGCTTAATACTGACTCTGAGTAGTGTTCATATTTTAAATTATGTCATTTAAACAGGTAAGTAATAACTAGGGGCTAACTGAGTCTGTAGTCTGGATGTACAGACAGAATAACATGGCACGCCTCTATGGAGAGCAACACACAACAAAGAGGAGGGAGCATTTCTTTTTTCACATGAGGTTCAGCTTCATCAACTATTATGTGTGCACATACCCCAACCTAACCCGCCCCCACCCCCATTCCCTGCATTTGGCCGATTAGTGACAGTGTGACATTGTCACCGAGCACACAAATATGAGGTGACTGTTAGCATAACACAACCAAGCCTATGTGTGACCATCGGGCAGGTGAACCATGCTGTGCTGACACCTAATACACAAACATCACTGCCAGCATGGGGGACAGGGCCCACAGGAGACATGACATCTTCTAAAATTGTGCTACAGGTATTCCTTAACCCTTTCAATGGTCACTGCCACCGTTTCTGAACAACAACCCAGGACTAAACTAATTAAACACGAAAATCACAGATTTGAAACAGGAAAAGTGCCTGGGATGCTCCAAATCTGACAGATGGCAACTACCTTCACATATAACCTGCTGCTCTTCATCCATTTCTTCTCTTTCCTCCTGTTTGTACAGTCCAGGATCGGAGAAAAAGACAAGTTCTTCTTCTCCCTCTTCATGATCTTCTTCTTCTTCTTCATCCTCTTGTTCTGCGCTTTCGTGAGTTGGCAGACAAATATATTCCTCTTCCTGGACAGAATCTTTCAGCTCATCCTCAGATTCACACACAAAGAGTGCCATCCTCCCCCTGTGGCTCTCCAGTTAGCCGGGAAACCGCAAGTCCCACTGGGGCGAAGCCATTTCTGCTACCTGCATCTGTACAGGTGTGGTTTTTTTTTTTACCCATGAGCCTCCACACTTCTAAGTGTGGCTAAATGTGACAGAAAACACATAGAATGCCCTCGGTTCCAAAGAGCGGCATTTTTGCTTTTTCTACACCTTTTGAAAGGCTTCATCACATTGGATAGTCGAATCCTCTGGGTATTTCTGTCAGGTTCCAGGTAGTATCAGCTGAGTGGAGATCTAACCCAGTGAGACTGGTTTGTCCCCTGTGACAGGTCAGGAAAACTACAGGACAGCTTAACCCCTCCTCTTTTCTGTGACTGGTCAGTCAGTGGCCTACTCCACTTCAGCACAGGCACAGGGTAGACCGGTCCACAGACTGCTCCGCAGGGCTTTTTCATCTGCTTTTCGAGACTATGAAATCAGGTTACAACAGATTAAGCGCCACAGATGAGGGGATTTAATCTCTCTCCTGCTATCTTTAACCCTGTAACTCCTAACAGTTCAGCAAAATCAGCGTTTCCTTTTAAATGGGGTGAATCAGACTAGCAACAACAGCCGTTACCGGGGGGGGGGATATTCCCTACACGGGGTGAGAGGGCAACGCAAAAACAACTCACTTTACAATCCCTCTCAAGTTACGGCCACATGGTACAGTCCTGCTCAGTGTTGGTGGTGACGGTAGGGCAGAGGGAACAACAGACAGCCACCTGTTTCTAGGGTGGGGCCAAGCGCAGCCAACCTGTGGATGTTTTGAATCTAAAGCAGACAGCAATTACCAAGACTTGTGCGTGAGATAAGAGCGCTTACCTGTGTGACAGCCTAAAAAGCTTTTTTGATCTCCCAAGCGTTTCCGTTTGTGTCCCAATACACTTATCACAATCTAACAGGACTAGTTTAGACAATGGCCAGCCACCTACGGCCCGGTTCTACCAGTTCTCTTCCTGTTTAAAAAAAAAAAAGAGGTCTCCGCCCAAAAATTGTTTGTTGAGATATTGCCTTTGATAATGCACCCAACAGTCCCACCCTGTTCTACATAAGGATCCCAGTAAGACTATGATGGGATGCTTTCTGAAGTAATTTTAAATGAGATATAAAAAGCTGAGCCTAAGAATGATGTCAAATCTTTTTGTAAAGCTTTTGGGTTTGTAAAATAAACTTTACCTGAGTTCTAAAGCTGTTGTTCCAAACACTCTGTGGTGTGTTACCTACAAGACATGAGTGTTAAAGTGAATGCCTGACAGAGATTCTTTTCAACCTGAAAATGTTATCAGGCTGTTCAATAATTCCACATCTTACGCCACACATCACTCTCTAGAGGCTTTTCTCCTCACTTCCTTGTGGCTTGATTACTCAAGCTTATAACCTTTAAACCCTCATCAAATAGCTCAGTTAAGGCTGACTATTCACACTAGAAGAAATAGTGATGTCATCTTTTCAGATAATTTAGTAATCAGCTACCCACTAGATTAATCCTTTTATATAAATTGTTCCATAGCAACAGACATGAGTCAGTTTCCAAAGTCATCGCCTAACAGGTCAACTCCAACGCTTTGGTGTCAGACTAACAACTGCTGCATTAATCATGATGATTAATCGCGAGTCTTCAGTCAGGATTAGCTCCTCAGACGACTTCAAGATTAGCAACACTTGGATTGTCCATTTAAATTTCAGTGGAATGTCAGAGAGAGAGTGAATATCACAATTTAGCCCAGCTGGCAACTTCAGTAAAACAGTGACCCAAATAGTAAAGATTCCAATTTGGGATCTGAGTCTTTCTCAGGTACAGGGAGTGCTGCTTTTCCTCATTTCTTTGGTAGTTCATTTTATCAACTTTGCTGATGGTTTTAAAAAGTTATGTCCAGCTAAGAGGTTAACATCTTGTTTGTCAGTGATGTGACAAAATCTAAATGTGTGTTACTTATCAACAGAGTTAGCAGTTGTCAAGCTGGATAATGCATTTATAAACTTTAGTTTTTTAAAACATTGTGGAGCTTAACCTTTTTTTACGTTTCTTTTTTTCCCCCATATACAAATAGAATAGCTATAAATAAAAACTCTATTGTTTTTCAGGGTCTTCGCTGAGCTGCTATGGCTGGTTAGGTCTATTATTCGTGAATGATAATGGGCAACACCAAAGAAGTCCAGTTTTTCTGCTCATTACTCCATACTGAAGGTTTAGAATCCCATGCTTCAGTAGCTCCACTCAATGCTCATATACACAATGCAGCCCAAGAGTTCTGGACAAACACCAATGAGATTTTTCTATGTTCTTTCTCATTGCCTTTCTGGTCACATTCACGCTTCACACTCAACTTGTTTTGCCATCCTCGATCTTGTGGACCAGTTCACTATTTCTCATTTGTTGCCATAGTGTGCCATGTGGCTTAAGTTTTATACACAGTGTCTGGAAGAAACCCTGAACTTCCTTTAATAAGTAAAACATTTCCACAGAGATATCAACATTACTAACAGAGCACAAAATACAAGGATGGGGGGGGGGGGGGGGGGGGGCTGTTTGCTCTATTTGCTGACTGGGTTGCACAGACAGTCTCACAGAGGGAGATATCTAAAGAAAAGAAAAAGCCCAAATTCCCAATGTTAATTCTTCCCTGATAAGTGACGATAAGAAAATCAAACCTTGCTTGAAATTTCCAATCTGTGTACATTGGGAAACAAACATGTTTATTTTTGTACAGCTAGTCCTTGCACTCTGTTACTTTGGCCCCTTTTTTTCTGTTAAAGGGCCTCCGTCTATCAATAAAAGTAGCTGGAAGGCTGTGCAAATTATCGGGCTAAATATAAACCAACCTACTTCCTCATCCCCCGTCTGCGTGTGTCAGAATAAAACCAGCTGCCTGCTATTTCTGCCAATGCGCTGCATGAGGAGGGTTATCAAAGAATGTCCTGTCTTATTGGACAAAAAAAAAAGTCAATCATCACAGGATAAAGATTTCATCTGGGTTGGCTGCCACAGCTGGATAAAACAGAGACAGTGTTTGATTTAAGCTCTGATTGGGGGGGCCGCTGAGCTGTTTCAAACTGTTATGTAAGAATCTTTGCAGACACATGCATAATATGGCTGAATTTTAAGTAGTCTGTCCCACACTCGTCCCCAATCCACCACCAAATGAACACAACTACAGTACAAAACATGGGATCTTATTTTTTTAGATACATTTCCATGCATGCAGCTGATGGAAAGAGAGACAGAAGAAAAACAGTTTTAAGTAGGAGGACAATTAGACCAAGGCAAAGCAGAGGAGCCCAACAGAGACAGTGCTAAAAGCCCTGGTAATAAAAGAACCTGCTGTTAGTCACACCTGCCACATGACCAGGTACCACGGCTCCATGCATCCTGCACCAGTCACAGATCAGCCTGTGAAATCATTACCCATATCAGGTTACTTCCTGACGCCCCTGTCCTCACAGACCTCCATACATTACATAAATATCGCTCATGCGCCAGGATCTGTTATACAAGGAGGGTTTCACAGCCTCGTATATCCCTTGAACCTTTTAGCATTTTCTTGTGTGTTTATTTGGTTGTCCCCTCGTCAAAACCTACAGGCGCAGCATATTATGCACGTGTGAGATACCACCTGTCTGTTTAGAGTGTCCACTGTAAAACTGTTGCCATGATTGGCATTGAGTATCTCCTGTTGTATAAACGGTTACTCATCCAGCCCAGCAGCTGCTATCTGATGTTTTGTATTGGCTGTGATTTCCTGGCGACAAATTGGCCCAACAGCCCAGATCCAGATTTAAAACGACAATGACTGCCTGCTTGGCACCGTTTTAGAAGCCACAGACTGAGTCCCATCAATGCTACAACTCTTGGCTTTGTGAACTAGATTCTCGCTCAGTTTATACACCATTCACATTCTTTCAAATTCATGACCAAGAACTCCTAATCTGGTTGTATACACCATATATCTAAACACACACTTCCTGTCAGTTTAAGTTCCAGCTTTCAGGGGGAAACTTGAATATTCTGCATTTTCATCTCCCACTCACTGCCTCCTCATTCCCAAAGATACTCATCCAGCTTGATCCGGTGAGAACAATGGCCGCTTGAAACTGTTCTGGAGCCGGCTCTTACCATCGGTACACTCTTCATAGTACCAGTCCAGTTCGTAGTAGTCAGCCTTGACAAAACTCTGGCCTCTGGTCTGGCCTCGTCTCTTCATCCTCACTGCTCTCTCAGATGACCGTAGCAATATTCCAGCGTATTCTGCCCGAGCATCTCCAGCACATCCTCTGTCCCAGCATGTTCAGAAGAAGTCTTTAAGGTCTAATTACTCACGGCCACTCGGTCAGCTCAAAGTTGTGCTGTCCCAGCATGCTTTGCTGTTACCACTGGGCACGTGCTTCACAACAGGACCCTGAGCATACGTCCTTCCTGTTCCATGACTACAAACAGCAGGCTGCCAGTGCATTGTGCTCCATTTCTTGTCTTACCGGTGTCACTTCAGCCTGTCAGACCACGGGATTGCTTCTGGGGTCATTAAAAATGAAGCCAAAAAAACTTTTCCTTTTTTTGTTCTTTCTTTACCATGTCGCTAAAATTCCCATCTTCTCTGAGCGTCTCCCTGTTCCCATATACAGCCCGTCAGTTTTCCTCAGTCAGTCCTAAGGTTTAAAGAAAAGGTGTCAGATGTATCCTCTGGCATCTGCATCCCTCCGAAGCCTCAGATCAGTTGTTCTCCTGCTCCTCTGTCTGTCCCCTTCAGATGCTTTCGGCTTCTTAAGGTCAAATCCCGACCTTACTCCTCTTCCCGGTTACAACATTCCGTGCTGGCTGGTGGCACCGCCTCCACACATGGAGCATTGCATCCCTAACAATGACTCAATGAATACAGAGACACTGAGAGCAGCAGTCACGAGTTTTGCAGCAGAAATGATGCTAATGATGATGCGGAGGGGTGGGCGGGCTTAGGGGGAGTTTTCAGCCAATGAGAGGGGAAGGCATCAGCGGCATGGTCCCGCCCATAACTGCAAGTCAGCATCCCCCCCTCCTCTCCTCCTTCTGACTTCGTCCTTCTGTGTGGTTGCTATAGGAACAGGTTCAGACTCCAAGGCCTCTCGGCATGTAGAGGCAGCTAGTGGGAAAGCGGTATAGTGCTGGCAGAAGTGACGTGGCCAGCCAGAAATGAACCAACATAATGGGCATTCATGGCTTAGTCATTATGTAAGGAGTTAAGAAGCATATGGACGGCAGACAGAAGACCCATCAGCGCAAACATAGTCCGTTTCATATCAATGGGCACAACATACAGACAGAAACCATTCCAGCTTAGCTCTGGCTCTGTAATGCTCACAGTATGCTGTAGACATGATTAAACGCAAACTGCAGAAAACAGATGATTAGAGAGAATGAGTCAGAGAGAATGTATTTGGGAATTCTACTTGTACAACACAGTGACACTGCATTAGACCCAAATTACAGATTCAGTTCCAGTCGCCCCTGGGTTCTGCAAGAGATCTGGAATCACTACCTTACACATTAGTATTGATAAGTTAAAAAATACTGCTTGCTTTTAGCTATTCGGATGAGTAATTCCACCAAAACCCTACAAAATATGCCTAAAATATTAATTCATATTCTAATACAGTTCTCTCTAAACATAACATTTTTAAAAAAGCTTATTTTTGTGACATGAACGATTGTGAGCAGCCCCTATAACAAGGATAGCATATTAGCTATTGTCTCCCTTACCACTCGCCTCTGTTTATCACCAGCTAAAATTCCAAAGGGAAAGATCCAACATGGTAAAAAATACTCTTTGTTTACGGAGACGTGTTGATGTTATGTCATCACAACACCAAGCTGCTTTCGATTGGCTGGCTGCTTCTGTGTCATCATCCCCTCAGATACGTCCTTTTCCCACTCTGCAGGTCACACCAGCCATGTGATGCAACAGTGTGTGCTCCCAGCAAATTCATGTGTGCTGGTAAACCATTTCAGGAATGTATCCTTCTGCTTAGGATCTAAGCAGAGCTGGACTATTATTTGCATAACTGAATGTCTAAGTAGCATCACCTCTGTTGCATTTTCAGAGAGCTGGTACCACACTGCAGAGAACTTGAGCTTTATGACTAGAAAGCCCAGGGTTTGACCTGGCCCTGCTCATATATCACGGCCCCTAAGGGGGCTGATACCCAGGCCATCTGTCTGTAGCAATAATGGCGACATGCCGCCTTTAAGGGGTGAGGATTGCAAGAAGTCATGCAGAGAAAACAGCAAAATCAGGCCAAGAGGTCCATGTCAGCACAGTTCACAGATGAGATTATAAATCAGGCTATTTTAAGACCTTGTTTTTACCCTGAGTCACTATTCAAGCACAGTGGAATTAGAACTGAATCATTTATAGTGTTTTAAAAAAGCCTTTTCCTCAGTTTGAGAAGTTTGCACATGTTTTTTTCCCAGGATGTGAGTGTTTGTGCTAAATCCTGCTGTGTGCGAGGGGGTCGTGTTTCAGTGTTACAGCTGGAATAGATGACGTCCGTACGGCAGCTTAACGCGACCAGAGCAGGAACGTGCTGGTGATCACTGTGCCGGTGCAGCAGAGCAAAATATTACCCACGGAGAGATAGAACCACGGCGGGTGTTTGTTGTGGTAACTGTGTCCAGATGCCACGCCCACACAGCAAAGGACAGATTGGCTTCTCACCCTCTCAGATTAAAGGTCAGCATAAATCTCAATGGCTGACACTGACAACAGTTTCTTGGAAGTTTAATCAAACAAGCAGCCCGTTTTCTCAGTGATTAACAGCAACATGGGGCTAAGAGCATTAACACGTATCATGACCGCACGCGATCGACTTACAGAAGTATTTGAGAGTCTCCTCTATCTGTTCAGTGGTCAGGTCAAGGGCAGCGTTGGGCTCCACGAGCGGCGTGTGCAGCCAATCATCTTGATCATAACCAAAGATGGTGTCAGCTCTCAGTTTGTAGACGGGTAACTGCTCCTCCAATAAGCTGATAATCTCAAGCTCCGGCAAGTCAGTGCTGTTGCAGACATCTGCACAAGGAAAAAGAGGGATGCTTTTTATTTTAGCAAAACATTCTGTCAATTAATCCCAGAATGCTATGGGACAGTGAAAAACAGGAAAAGAAAATGTTAGCAACAATATATATATATCAATTTAAAAAAAAATAAAAAATATATAGGCTATATGTGTGTTCGTGCTTGTGTGTTTTGTTTTTTTTGGTGCAAATTTTGGATCAGACAGGAAACAGGAAATGTACTATTTATGATACGGGCGGAAAAAGGGAGAAGGGGTATGAAGAAATAGTTTCTCTTCTTCACACCCCTTTCTAGACACTTTATATTAATTTATGTTATCTGAGGGTATGTACACTTATACGTTTTTCAACTGGATATTTTGCTTATATTATTAATTTCTCTTTATGTTCAGATGTATATATGGATATATAATGCACTGTTGAGCTAATACGGATGAATATGATTATGCTGTTTGGGTTTTTTTTTCTTTTCGTAATTTGTGTTTACTGGTCACTTTTTGTGTTGGAAATCGTCAGAAAATAAAGTCATTCATTCATTCATTCAAATGGTCTGACAGCACAAATTCTCTGGCAAAATGTTTCTGTTTTTCAAATCATTATCCACCTAATGAATCAGCTTGATGTTGATTATAAAAAGCCCTTTGGTTCCTGTGAGGTTTTCCCTTTTCTAGCCAGGCCTCCTGCTGACTGGCCGGACAACCACCCAAATATCACACAAGTCAAGATTAAAGATTTGGTCAAACTACCATCAGACAGTTGAGTGCAGTTCAATTCATTCAGTTCAGCGCAAATGACTCATTTTTCTTCTGTGTGTGTGCATTGCTCTCCTCTAAATGGTTGTTTCCTTATCCTTTGGATGTCCACTGAAAACTAAATCCTACAGCACAGTAACCCACTTGTTACTGTGTGGACTGTGAGGCCCTCTGGTGGCTTACTGAGAAACAAGGTAGGCTCAGCAAAAACTGCATGGGATTTCAAAAACAGACCAGGTTCAGACAAAGCTTATTCAACATGCCACTGTCAGTGTACCAGGCTGCACAATGTAAATCCTCAGCGACCAGTTCAATGACGATCCATTTTGGTATCCACAGCCGCATTTCAGCATGTCCATACTAACTCAAAAAGAGGTAATGCAAATCCAGAAAATTCCACAAAGAACACGTTCATCTAATCAGTAAATAATTCTAAAGTGCACACATTAACGCGCACAGCAGCCACAGCAGTTTTGAAAAACTAACAGAAAGCCAGACGTCGGGCCTAAACAACCTGAGCTTTCTGCTACGTGCCTCTCTATTCGTACATTTGTTTAGTGTGCTATTGAAAGAGCCGTCCAGACCTGACCCCACTGGAGTTCAGGTTTTAGGGACTTTCGCTGCAGAAATAAGGGCCAGAGAACCTCTTGAACTGAAGAAACTAACATAACCAAAGAAAGAAAACTAACACATGATTAAAAACAAGGTCCTTTGTTTCACTGCTCTGCTGCTCCCGTCTGTGTGTGTGTCTGTGTGTGTCCCTGACAATGCCATCTCTTACAGTGTGCTAATCCAGACTGAAAGACTGGCTGTGATGAAAATGGGAGACACACACACAGACACACACACACACCCATGCATGGCGACGGCAGCTGGTGAATCATTCTGCAAGCAGTCAGTGGAATTTCAACACAGAACTAAGTACTAAGTCACCACTACCACCATGAGAGAGCAAACGTTTCCCCATTCACTGGATCATACTCTCCTCTCTCACACCTTAGAAAAAGCCTAAAGCTTCTTGCATTTGGTCCATTTGTTGAACCATTCGGAATGGAGAGTTTCATAAATGCTTTGATTCTTTTCCACAATATAAAATCCAGCAGCAAAATTTCCCCTCAGTTGTATTTTGTGTCATTATTATGAACAAAAACAAAAGAAAAGAAAAATTACTTTTGAGAGAGCCTTACTGGACAAAGCATAACCCATCTGTCTTGTATGGGAGCTGTTTTTTGTACAGTCTAACATGGAACCTCTGCCACCAAATGGGCTATAAATAGTGTAACAAAAGTTCATTAGGTCTAATCAGAATATCTAGGCAGCCTGTGTTCATGTGTGGAGTTCCTTATGGCATTCAGTATGATCTCCTCGTATTTCCACAACTGCAGCATCATTTTCCCTCTCTATATCCCGCCAAAGCATTAAAATAGATCTCGAGGAAACGAATCACGTATCCAATTGGTCAGGATTACTATAATTTTTCACATGATAAATTTGATCATTTAAAATAGTCACAGATTTATTTATTTTAGAGCCAAATAAAGTGTTTATAAAGGGCTCAAATCAAAAGGAGCCAGTTCAATTATATTGTCTTAACACAATGATTTAATCAGATGGACTCCAGGTCCTGGCATTTCGAGGATGTAAACCTAAATCAGGTAACTGGAGAGGGAGAGTATACAGTTCAAGCATGTGAGCTGTCTCCGGCCAGCCAAACTGTGCTGGAGTCGGATTTCTGAACCACCTGAATATGACTTCTGAAGCGTTGCTTAACGGAGAGAGGGACGTTCTGAATCTGTGAGCAACTCTGGTAAAGTTCAACATGGCCGCCTCCTGCACACAGTCCGGTCAGGCTCCCTGTGATGCACACGTTTAACGTCTGCATGGTAATGTATTGCTCTGTGCGGCTTCACTCCCAAGAACCGAAAAGACACACGTTGGAGATATTTACCCTTCTGTCTGGAGTTTTACAAACTAAATTAACTAAACCCAGCACTGATAAAAGAATCCCGAAAGGGCAAAAAAGACAACAAAGAACGCCTGCCTGACAGGAAAAAAGAGAAAAACAGACGTGAAGATGAAATGCACAGAGTGCAGCTGTTGTCGGACTGAGCAAGAACTTAAACAGCAATGAATTAAGAACCAGGAGAAAAAAAAAGAAAAGATTTTCCACAGAGTACTTACTCATTGTGCCTGAAGCCCGACAAACAGCAACTCCCCTGCCCTCCAATCACATTTTCCTCTAATCCAGGAGAGGGCAAGGTCGCAAAACTTAAAACAGAGAAGACAGAGAGCGAGAGAGAAAGACTTTGGGGGGTGGGGGTGGGAGGGGTGAGAAACAGGAAGAGCCCGAGAGAGGGTACAAAAAAGTTTTAGAGGACGACACTGGGTGTACAAGACAAAAAGAGAAAGAGAGGAAAAAAGGGAGGGAGGAGTGAAGAGGAGAGAGACCCGAGCCAAACTGGTCGGTCATGCTTCACATGCCGATGACGGTAACCACATGGTCCGCCCCACGCTTGCCCTCCTGCTCTTTCTCTCTCTCTGACGGCCAACACACTCTGTGGGACATTTCCTACCAGCCCAGCAAACACAGACACACACACACACACACACACACACACACACACACACACACACACACACACACACACACACAGAGTCTATTCTGATCCTGTCCAAACACAGCAGGCCTGACCCTGTTCACGGCACAGCCTCCCTTGCTTTGACGGTTAAACTTCTGTGTCAGCCTCAAACACGGAGACCATGTCTCAGATATGTGGAGGACAGATGTATCAAAGGTTCTGAAGTTTCATTTATCCTCGGGGAGAGGAATCCACGCTCCCAGCCAGCGTTCCGAGTGCCAGCTGGAGACTTTTCCCCAGCAGTAATCACAGCCTGTGCAACAGGAGCAAAGCTGCTCCAGACAAACTACAGAAACACTGCTTTTTTCCCCCTCATAAAAACCTGCAAATCCCTGCTTTTGGCGCTGAATGACACTGTATGTGCGTTTCTAAGCCTATGCACAATAGTCGGGGAAGCGCACGGATAACTCCGGTAATCAGTTTAGGGGGACTAGTTACTACATTTCCGGTTAGTTCGAGCGGTTAGGGTGTTTCAAAAGTGTTTTGGGCCCTGATGGTTGGTATGTACTGTGAAACCCAATCCAAACAAACAATGTAACATTATTCCAGGGGTTTAGAACAACTCCTCGATTGTTTTCATTATGTCAGTTTCCTAAGAGGATGTTTTACCCATTTAATCCATTACACTTTGAATGGATCTAATAAATCATGAAACTTCCTATTTCAGGGATCTAGTTTAACTAAAAGTTCAAAGTAAATTCATGATAAAATAGTCTTTTTTTTTTTAAATCTTGTTATCCTTGAAGGGTTCCTGCTATGCCGAATGCTCACTTACAGGACCAGCAAACAAGCAGGGATTGTGGAGAAAAAGGGCCTGACGGGACACGCGTACTTATCAGATGCTGCTACATTAAACAGACATCAGGAGTAAATCCACTGTAAACAAATGGAGAAAATCAGCCCTTGTGTTTTTCTTGCTGTTTGAAGGTCACATACACGACAGGCCAAGTACACGACAAGCCTCCATTTCACAGAACGTAAGATTCAAATGCACAATCTCTCGGAAAAACGTGTAGACTACGATCACTCCAATAAAGTAGTTCAACTGTGTGAGACAACATCAATAGTCTCATTGCGCAAAAATAAACGGTTTTTGAGGCTGTCCTCTCTTTGTAAAGTGACTGTACGAGTGAGCCAAACACTGCAGCACAATGGCAGAGGCAGGCTGCTGGGAACCAACTGAATTTGTCCTCTTACATAACTCCCCCTCTTCCCACTTCTAAAAGTTCATCCCTGTTACTCAACTCTTTACATCACAGCTGGCTGGAAACCACAGAGAAATAACCTCATAGCCAGTCACGGCTCCATGGCAACAGGCCTCCCTATTCAACTCACCGTGTTCATTCATACTCTGGACTCAAATCAGCGTTTTTCAAACCGGGGACTGAACGAAACATGATGAAATGAAGTCAAATATATTTATGAGAATAAAGCTATTAAACCTTTGGTCTGTTATGATAATGTGGTCATACCAGCAGGTGGCAGCACTGACCCAGCCTGTTTTGGGTAAATATGGCAGATAATCTGCTTTTTTTTTCTCTTTAGAGATGACTTAGTGTTTCTGAAATTTAGAGTACAGATAAGAAAGAATATCATAATATGATAGCTGTATCCAATAGATAATTTTAACAAAGAACTGCATCACTCTGAAAGACTTCAGACTTCAGTAAGAGTAAAACAGTGTAAGGTTTTAAGTGAAAATCACTTCACCATAACTGAATGAATTATACACTATAGTCTATTCCTTTGAGCATTCTTCTTTGAGCACTGCTAGACAATCTGTAAACAAAGGTCCATCCATTACAGCAGGAAATCATTAACCCCAAAGAGTGAAAGCAACATGTTCCTGCATCTCCCCTTTAGACCTTTGACAGGTAAATGTGTGGCCTTGAATTTCTGTTGCACTGTACGAAACCCTAACATTAGCCTTTGATCAGTCTCACAGTGGAGATACGGGACTAAAGTTACATCCTTTAGGCTTCACTAACAATCAAAACCCTGAAATGCATTTATCAGAGGTTTCATATGATACTTATTTTTTTTTCATTTTTTATTTTATTTTAAATTGACCTTTTGAATAAAAGTTTCACACAAATATCTAGTTTTTAAGAGTCCTTTAGATCTGGGCCACATGAAGCCCTTTGTGTAAAATGTAGAGACCTGGAAGGCCCCTGACCTGAGAAGACTGACCATGCAGAAAAACATGACAAATACAGGAAAGACAAGAACACAACACAGCCTGTGCAACCCCCAACTGCTCTGGGATACTTCTTTTTCTGTTTCTGACAAAAACCAGGAAGCTCTATAGCTATCGCTGCTTGTCCGTACGAGTGTGTTAGCCTTGTGACAAACTGATTAGTCTTCCACTCTGTACACTGTAGGACACTGAAAGATAAACTGAAAAGATGGATGGATGGAAGCAGAGCGAGACCCACTGGTGTTAACCCCGACAAACTCACACACTGTTCCACGTTCTTTCATGCCATTCTCCAAAGCTCTTCCTGAGTTTGGAATAAAGGGGGCGTTGCCATTAAGATAATGCCAGGAACTCAGCTCATGCACCAGGTTGGTGGGATTGGAGTGAGGGTCTTTTCCTGTTTGCGTGTACAGAAAAGACCTACGCTCTCAACCCTACTGCTAATCAGAGCAGGATGCTTGTGACAAGGCATCTGTAAGTGGATTGTGCTCATTACTTTTCCCTCACCTTATTGTTCTCCTTAGACTGTTACGCTCCAGTTAATAAAAATTAAGATTAGCTGTGTTGAACATAAAAACACACGATAGAGGAGGTGGTGAGATGGACCCAAAAAACAACATTTTTACATGACATAACATTATTTCATGTCGTGTAAAAACATGTAAAGGGTTGATTATCTGCTCCAGAATGTAAGCAGAAATGTAAAGGGCCAGTGCATGACTAAATTAAGACCACCGTGTCACTCTGTTCAGTGGGAGTAAATCAAGGGGTTAAGGAAAAAAACGAAAAAGGAGACGAGTGAAAGAGCTAAGACAAGCAGAACTCCCAGTGGACCGGGAGTTCTGCTCTTTCACACGCTGGTTTCTACACATATCTGAGGATCCCTGGAGCTGCTTCACTGGCAGGATGTGACGGGTCACAGAGAGGGACAGGCTCTCACAGCTCCATATGTTCCGCAGTCAGCCGTGTGTTTGTTGCACATCGCTCCTAAGACGTCTTCAAATGTGGGTTCGTAGAACCGTAAAATTAACTGGTGATATAATACGGGATAAGACGGTAATGCTGCCAAATGAACTCTGAAGCTGAGCATCTTAGAATTGTGATCTCAACTAATGCATAATCCAATTAATTATGTATTGCGAACAACAAAGTGAAATGGGTGGAGCAGCCCACATTACCAGTAATGGTTTCAGCATCTCTGCAGGAGGCCGTGAACCTCTGAGTATCGGGCAACGGACCCTCCTCACTGACATACTCCTCCTCTTCCTCCTTACTGGCCAACTGGACCTCCGGGTGGAGGGGCCCAGGGGAGTCTCTGTGCTCGGGGGACTGGTCGGGGGCCGGGGCAGAGGAGCAGGAACGGGTGTGGGGAGTCTGAGTCCTCGGCTCCAGCTTGGCGCCGAGGGGTTACTGATTAAACACAGGGCCAGCCATGGACTGGATCCACAAAGAGAGAGAGACGGGACACAGTAGAAATGAATTTGTCGGGGAACTCATGGTTGGAGTGGACGGGACACAAGCGATCGGGCTGTCTCACCAGCAGGGGACAGAAGGTGTGCAGAGTATCCTGCTTCCTATAACTGGAAAGAGAACAGAAAAGTCATTGGTTAACATGTAAATATTATCCAAACACCAAGAACACAGCTGTGAACTAAAAACCCTCTAATTCACAGAGTTGAGTCCAACCTTTAAAGATGAGTTTATTCTGTAAAATTGTGTTTTTCTCAGTAATAACACAGTGGAGTCCTCCATGTCTTTTTTCTCATACTTGGAAAAGTAAAGTAGAAGTATTTATAGATGTGGTTTCACTGTCAGCCGCATGATGGGCTCAAAGACTGAACACATGCTGAACCATAGATAATTATAGACGTGACTTCACTCCACGCTCTGTAATCAGCTGATTAGATATACCTGTTTACCAAAATTCCACAGCCGAATAAACACAACGTATCTGAGCGGACTATGATTATAATAAAGTGCTTGTTGATAGCTTGCCAGAATGCTTGTGATTTTACAGAAATAATGTATCTGAACTACCTTTGGATAAGACTGGGTTGATGGGGACTTCATGACATTTAAGCACACATATAAACTCATCCAAATTATGAATAGAAATGGAGTCTGGAATACGATTACAGTTGATAAAATATAAACTGTATTCAAGTGTTGGGACATCAAATACTGAACCTCCAGCAATCTTTTAAAATAAAAGTTTACAGTTAAAAAGATAAAAAAAGGATAGAATTAAATGGTAATAAATTGTTTTTTAAGTGGCTCATCTTTTCCTGCGGACAGAATCTAAGTGTGCTCCCGTTATCAAACTCTGGTCCTCGAGGGCCGCTGTCCTGCAGGTTTTAGACATTTTCTTGCTTCTGCACACCTGATTGTGATCAAACTGGCTCTCCTCTGGACACCGTTGAGCTTTGCGCCGGCCTGCTAATGGCATTCTGATGTGAATCGGGTGTGTTGAAACGGGGACATCTCTAAAACCTGCAGGACAGCGGCCCTGGAGGACTGGACTTTGATACCTGTGCCTTAAACGAATACATGACCTCTGGTGGTGAAGGGTGCAAACTGCATGTCAAGTGGAAAAAACTAAATCCATAAATAATTATTTTAAGGTTAACAAAAAAAACCTACTTAGTTGATTGCAGGGCTCATCTTATATATTTGATGAAAATAAATATACCCAACCAAAGACAAAGAGATCAGGACTGAGATACCATTAGTGACGTTACATTGGAATATTTGGTTTGTGATGGGGAAAAAGTGTTGTTTTTTTTAAAGCTATCTTATGCTGTGAATTAATGTTTGAGAATTTGAAAAGGGGACATGAATGCTCACCTGGCAGAGATCCTGTAATAAAGCTGCCACCCTGTGTGGTTAAAATGCTCTCAGACTATGATGACGGCGCTCCGGTAAGCATGGCCGGTAAAGACCTCTCCCTCCACATTCCCCTGGCCCTGGCCTCCACCACTCAGATCCCAGAGGGATGGACTAAGATGCTAGGAAAGGAGTCAAGGAGAGAAGACAGAAGATATTTACATTTGGAAATTAGATAAGCAGGCAAAAGATGGCCTGGTGTTATTAAAGGAAGCACTGGAATGCTTTTCCTGTGCATTAATAAAATGTGACCTGTCATGGCTATCATGGCCACCACTGTGATTCTTCTGGTGGTTTCGACTTAGTTTTGAACTTTCAGAAGAAAAGGATCCAGCTGATGTAGCATCAGATTTTTTTAGTCATTTTGAACTGAGACTTCAATGTGAGTTCTAATAATATTTAAACATTCATTCTTAGTGATGAAATCCCTCTTTGCTCCTTCAACTTGGGTTGTTTTTTTCTAATTGGTGAACACCTCATACTAATGAAACCTTCTCCATCTTTACCCCAGAAAAACAGCTTCTCTTGGATATCCTGAAAAGTTCCTGTCCATTGCATTTCTAATTACAGCTTATGGCTCAATCTTAAAGGGCACAGATAAAGTAGGGCACAGATCACATTTACAGTATGATAGAAGAACAAATCCTCCTCCATAGACACTCCTTGGTTTAGCCACACACATCTTTCCATTTCTCGCCATCTGCCTTTTTCTCCCGGAGTTTCCTCTGAGACATATTGAGTCAGATTAAATGGAGCACAGTGGAAAGGAGAAATTAGGTCACAGTTTTCCATTATTTAGGAGTTAAAGGCATGCCGATGCCCAAACACTGTTGCCCATGACAACAAAATATGTACTTGCTGCAAAAAAAAAAAAAAGCCAGGCAACAGCTCCTGTTGTATATCAATAACTGGGTATTTTCAATGGGAAAACAGGGAAGTTTTACCAGAATGAAAGAGTTAACACCTTTAATAAATGTTTGTACTTATAAGGCTGGGCTGAAGTGGAAAAGTCCTTTAGAAATCCAAGAAGTTGAAGTCTTTACAGTAAAATAATTGTTTTCTTTCAAATAGATTGAACCAAAGTATTTCATTATCAAACAGAAACATACCACCTTAAAGGTCATTAGCATGAGGGTCAACAATACAAGGATATGCACAATATTCCCTCAGGGTGGGAACAACATGGCTGTATGGAGTTTAAAGGAAGTGGAGGATTTCAAAATGCCGATGGGACTGTTGCTTAAGGACACAATAGTGAGTGCAGGACGAGGCGTGGTCCTCCACTTTTTTCATATACAGAAAATAAAGTTTGACACAAGTGACACACTTCATCTTTATACTTTGTTTTGTCATGTGTATGGTATCTCCAACTAGTCCTGAAAACATGACCTCGCGTGTTCAGTTATACCTGCTATCTGTTAAAGTTTGATTGTTTAAAAAGGACTAAAGACTAAAGACATCGTCAATCAACAGGGCCAATGGAACTGCCCATTCCTACATTGGAAAGGCCCTTTCTGTTTTGAACGGCATAAATAGGCTTTAGATCAACGAAAGAAGTCTATTTTAGATAAGACCTTTTTATTTCAACAAGACAATAGTAAACCGCATGACGCCTCTCTGACGGCAGCTCGGATTCACAGCAAGAGAGGACACGTCTGCATCATGAGACGGAAAACAGAAGCTGGAATCCAACTTTAGAGAAGAATGGGACACCATCCCTGTCCCAAAGGTCCAACTCTCCTCAGCTCCCAGACTAACAGGTTAAAGGAAGTGGGGATGTCCCATATAAAGTAAACATGGCTTATTTTATGTGCCGTTGCCATCCCATTCAAAACAAACCAGTTCTTTTCATAAAGTATAAAAAGTCTATTTTTGAAAACGTTGATATGTTTTTAATAATATTGGCTTAAATTGTTGTGTTTTACTTTTATTCCACACATAATCTCAGTTTTATTCAAGCTGCGGTCACATCACTCAACAAAACAGACTGAATTTGTCTAATTCTTGTAAGAGTTGTTAAAAATTTAGCAATAGGCCAATTTCCAAATAATATAAAATGAGCCGTTTTGATTTCTTTTCCAGGAATACGTCGTCTTCCGACGCTGGCCCTCTTTTTTGTGGTTCACCGAGCGAAAGTGGCTGCTATTCAACACTTCTAGCCCCATTAGCAGACCAGTGCAGACATTAGAAATGTTAATGAGGCTTATACATTTACACAGGCCACATCAGAGGGTCTGTTTCCCACTAACTGACAAACACAAATCAAGCTTCTGTAGTGGGGTTATCCCCTTTGGGCTAAAAATAAATCAAACATAAGATCATTTTCTGCCTGGATTATGATTTTTCATGATTTTAATTATTCAGAATAGTTACAATCCTGAACACTGAATGCCAACAAGAATACATGAATAGAGCTTTGAGGGTACTATCTCTCTGATCTGCTGTCCGTGGGCTCACTTTTTATTATAGCAACTGACCCTCCAAAGTACCTAATGTCATCAAAAGAAAAACAATGCCTTTTCAGTCTGTCTTGAAGAAGAAAAGCAAATGTGTAGTTAGTATCATTGACCCCTAACCCCAGCAATAAGGCCAATGCCAAAAACCAAAAACATTCTTTCTCAGTTCCTTAAAGAAACCGGAACTTCTCCACCCAAACCTCAGACAGTTTGTAGGTTTGGGGTCTCATCCAGCCTGTAGTCACAATGAGGAGAGAGTTTTTAGTCTTTCTGCTGTTAAGCATCCCGGCAGTCGATACACTGATTTACAATCCATGCCTGTGCAGCACTTTTCTGCAGCTGAGCACTCACATTTGTCCTTGCTGGAGGGGCTTTCCTTACCTCCTGTATGAGACTACACAGAGCACTTTGACTAGGAGTCAGGCTAAAAACCTACTGTGTGCGTGCTGGTGTCACCTCTAATGGAAATGTGGGCTGATATGTTGATGGACAAATAGTCCCAGCGGGCATGTGTCTAGTAGCAGGAGACTGCATCCACACTCTGCGACTGACAAGGCTACAAGCTGGGGCTCTCACACAGGAAACTGCACACCAGAAACAACTTCCTGTTAATGCTATGTGCCAAGAGAGGCTGATTTAAACAGACACAAATCAAAAGAAGAAAGAAAGAAGGGTGGTGTATGCCGAAACGTCTCCCACAGAGAAGTGGGTGAATGGAGTGGCTACAGAATGATATGTAGAGTTTTATTGTCCTCCATAAGCTACATGTTGATAATATGCAAGAATCCTATTCAAAGTCATTCAGAGCCTGAGCTTATCTGGTAAAAAATGTAGATGACGGCTTTGGTCTGACCAGTGTTTTTGTTTCATCAGCTTCCTGTCAGTGGACCCAATAGATTTGAGTTTTTTAAATGAAATGTTGGATTCAGACTGAAATGCCCTCCGAATTGATGGTACTTGTCTGTAAAGAAGGGTTAGAGGATCTCCACCCTTTTCAGGAATGATTGAAGTTCAGTCCAGAACGCATCTCTTCCTGTCAACCACTTTATGATCAATGGATCCAATCAATGCCCAGGATAGCCCGAGATACAATCGGATCAATAACAAACTGATTCATTCAACATCATAACTCATAGAGGGTGATGGCAGTAAAGGGCAAACTCGACAATCTGCTCCTCTGATCGCACGCCAACAGTAGCTGACTGAAGTTTTCCCAAGGCTTTAAAAAAAAAACACACAAATTCTCTAATATTTGGTGACATTCAGGATGGATGTGTGGATGTGACAACGCCCCTTTAGAAGTGTCAATCTGGAATCCCTCCCCATGCTGCACAGCTCAGAATTCCAGGCCTACACCAACAGAGACCCTTTCATGACCCTGCACTAGCTGGGCCAACCAGTGGTGGACAAGAGGATGGCCCCATGGAACTGGTCAACAACGCCGAGGCCTTAAATGCAAACACGACAAAAGCGGTGACTGTGTATTTTAAGAGGATGAGGGATCATTTATTTCTAGGTGAGGTGGAGTTTTGCGTGGGCCTGCACCCTCCTCAGTGTTCGCATGGACAACAGAGTGACCTGGAAATGACCCGATGACTCCGGAATCGCTCCCCCTCAGATCGCTCAAAGGTCACTTGACAGGAAAGCGTATCGAGAGGGGTAAAGGCAACGGCTTTTGGAGCAACTGTATACCTTTCCTCAGATCACTGTGACAATGTCAGACACTGGTTAAACAAAGCGCCCACATTGCCTGGTCAGCAAAAATCACTCTGCTTATAGACAGGTGGCTTCCGTGACTCCCGTCTCTCATCAGCGGGCATATCCCTCCTAACAAAAACACAGGTCCACCAATGAGCCTCCACCTGAGGGGCTCTGTGAGGGGTAAAACATGCTGAGGATCCAAAACAAGTCTATTTGCACACACTTGTGTCATAAGAGTTATTTGGGTGTGTTTTTCAGTGTCCAGCACAGTGCCCGGCCCCATGCGTCCATGGGGCCCCTGTTTACACATTAACATTCAGCTTCCATTGACAGGCTCCAGCTGAACATTCACATGGGTCCAGACTGACCACACAAGGGCTTTAGAGAGCCCTTTTCATATCATACACACACTCCCCATTTATCGCTTTAATCACACTGTACAAATGCAGAGGGAGTTGTGTCACGGAGAATAAGGCCGCAAAAATCCAAATAGAAAAAATTCAGTCCGTTAAGTTGCGACACTCTGAGGCGTTTTGTAATACTCCAGCAGCAAAATATCACAAATGTAACTGCTGCAAACTGTTTTTTTTTTTTTTAACCTTATCTGCTTCAAAGTAAAGTACGACGGGGGTCCGACGGCTCAGTTTACTTTCAGAGGAGTGAAGTTCCAGAGCAGAGCTTCCACGTCTCTGAGAGGATTGCATCACTGAAGCACGCTTCAACCCTTGAGCTCTTAGTGACGTAAAAAAAAAAAAAAAGAGCACGAGAAAGAGAGCCATCTCTTCAAGTTCCCTCACTGCTCCCGTCTCTGATGCGCTTCCTGTGGCTTCCCACCCCCGAGGCCTCCGACTATGTCGTTGTTTTCCTCTGGACGGGGATCCACCGGCCTGCTGCGGGACAAAACACACCTGACAGCAGGACGCAGGCGGCCGCCGCAGAGAACGGGCAGAAACAGGAAGATAAAGGCTGGTCCGCTGCTCCATTTTCAGAAGTCTACCAATTCATGTGATCAAAGGAAGTTGAGACACCCTTTATCAAAACTCTGGCCCGTCGCGCAGGGAATCAGAAGAAGGGTGATGGGAATAGCTAAAAAAAATGTCAGGAGGAGACCTGTGTGTCATGTGTTCTGCCCAATTATTGTTTATGTTTCCACAGCAACAGCACTGAGCTGCTCACAGATGTACCGGCCTTCCAGAGGGTTCACAGACAGTTGGAAAAAATAAAAAAGGATGATAAATGGTGGGATATGCCTGCCCCTTCTGTTTCTATTCTCTCCAGGAGGTCAGACGAAAATCCATTTTGTTCAACAGACCCTGAAGGTAGCATTCATTCTGGCTAAGCGTGGTGGGGCTGATCATGGGAGATCGAATTACTGGTATCTTATGATCAGCGTAATCCCTGTGGCACCGCTCTCTGGATGGATCAGGCCTCTGGTTTGTAGTGATACAGAAAGGTCAGATAAGAGAAAAATACCTGAGTGCTGGTGGGGGCTATGGGGCGCTCAAACTGAGTGTTTCAATTCCGCCGGCCGTGTGAAGTCTCTGGTCCGAGCAGAGGGACAGAACACAGGCCCACCGCGGATCATGTGCTGTTCGCTGGCAAACTCCCTGGATCCTTATTTAGCTTCTGGGTGCTGGCCTGATGAACCTTCCTCTTCAGCTACACCGCTGGAGAAAAGTACACATATCCCTGCAGTCACGCTGGAAATAAAAATCCTTATATACTGGCTCACTATCAGGACATGGAATGCATAGTTCAAGCCTTGTCTATGTATGGGGGTATTTGCATGGCAGCTTTATTATTGGTTTGCAAATTCCACATTTGAATAATTCTTTTTCAGTTGGTTCTACTTTTGTTTACTGAGACTCCAGATTCAGATTTGATTTACTCAGCTGGGGATTCTTGACTTAACAGATGCGCCATAACAACCTCATGTCAATTGGCATTAGTTTGGATAATCTGGCATAAGCCTCAGAGACTTATGCCTGTTTTATTTAAGTGGAAGAAGTAGGATTAAACCAATAAAGTGTGAAATGAAACTGACAAGGCGTCCAAAGTATTCTACGTGTAATAAAGATAGGCAGGAAATGGCAGATTTACACCAGACTGACAGATCCTTCTCATCAACACCTCATCGATCTCCTTAAGGACAAGTAAAACTGATTATTCCACATCTTTTCACAGCTGAATCTCGCATAAAGAGACATTTAGGAGGCATAGTTTATCCAGCGGTTACTTAACCGTTACCAACTCCCGAAAAGATGGGGTAAAGTGCACCTGCTTCAACATCAGTTCACTACCACAAACTTTTAAATCCCACAGGTTATAGAAACAAGTTCTAACTTACTCGGTGGAGCGAATTTCCCAGAGGCGTAAAAAAAAAAAAGGATCTCCCACCGGCGATTAAAAAAAATAACACCGATCAACTTATTCTCTCCCCGCGACTGTGGTTGGAAGTTATCCGCTATGGTCCGGGAAGAGCCCGGAGGGAAGTTTTTATAGAGATTTTTTTAGAAAAGCTGGTTAAAAAGTCCCGTGTGTGATGGCTTAACTTTACTAGCTTAACAATAAAAAAAATGCTTCCTTTTCAGAAGAGAGAGAGAGAGGGTTGCTCGCCGGGCTCCCAACTGAAAGGAGCTGAGTTAAAGCAGAAAATGATGTGAAGGAACATCCGGTCTGATCCCTTTCAAAATAAATCCAGTCACCTTCATTTCCACGCTAAAGACAGTTCGACAAGAGAGCTCCTCCACAGTATGTGGATCTACGTGGGCAGGTTTTACTTTCCCCTTTAGTTCCCCTTAGGTCCCATAGTTTTTCCCCTCAGACAAGATTTAGTCTAAAGTCATGATGATGATGTGTGGAAAATGTAAGTGAGAGGAAAACATCCTAAAATTACGAGGCCGAGTAACATTTTACAATTTCATTATCTTGAATTGTGGTGGTCGCAACATGTCTAGGAAAGGTTGGGGACTAAATGGGACTAGGGTGTAACACAGTACTAAAAATAAACAACTGGAGGGAAATTGGAGCTGGTTTGGTTGTACCAAATAATAATAATGATAATATTAATAATAATAATATTAAAAAGCACAGTGGTGAGGAAAAGTTTTCAAGAGGAAAATAAAACAAAAAAGAAAATGACATTTGGAACTGGTGGCACCTCAATTTAATAAAAATATCTTCAAAAATGGCACCAATTACACGATAACTGGCCTTTTGTGTCTTCCATTTCACCAGTATGACTTTATAGTGAGAGAGAGAGAATGCTGGACTGTAACCTTTGCTGATTCATAAAAAGTGACAATAAAAGTGAAGACTGAGAACTTTTGAGCAGCTCAACATCAAAGTTATGCTGCTGTGACACGCAGTGTGTCCTGGTTCTGAAGGGAAAAAACTATATTTCTGCTACTTTTATTTTGTTGAACAAAAGTACTTACAGGAAGTAACCATTCTAGATGAATGTATCTAATTTTCCAATAGAGTGGGTGGGTTTTAAGTTCTATTGTGTTTTGGGAGGATTTCCAGTGTCCCCTGTTGCTCATTGTCCGTACATGCAATGGCCCAGCTCCAATGTGTGCTCATTTAAACTTCAACTGATTTAGAGGTTCGTTAGTCGTTATTTGACGATGGTTTAGCTCAAGTTTTCTTATTGGAGGAAGGCTGGCCTCTCAAAGTGATCAATGTTATTCAGTCAACTGTCTATTTCTTTAGTTAAATTTACTTCAGTAGAAAGATATCCCACTAGAAAAAGAAAAAAAAGTTTTCCCGTAGTTGCACATGTTGAGTGGTTTTAGCAACCTCCACTGTCTCGTTTCAATGAACGATGACGTCACTCTGCTGTCTCAGGTGGGTTGTGTGATCGAGAAAGGGAAAGAGGTGTGCACAAAACTATGTAAAGAGTGGTAAAAGTCTTGACTTTAGCATCAAAAGCAGAAAAATGAGCTACATTGCAACGTTAACCACAACTAAATAACGTGAATAGGAAATGAGTGCTTTGGAAATAACTTTAATTTTGGGAAGAAATAAGTTTTTCCTAAGCTTTATTTGGTCTATTAGCAAACAGTAGCACATAACTTCAGAACTTAACAAACGGTATGGCTTTTTAAAACATCGTTAATATCTAGCCTTCTCCGATATAATACTACTGTATTTTTTTATTTCATGGCTACACTTCGCCATGCGCTATAGACTGTGTTCAGTCATGTATCCTAGTAACGACGGAATGCACCATTTGTAGGTGTGTTCGTGAAAACGATTAAAACTTACGCATCAAGAAGAGTGTTTTATTTGATAATTATTCAAAGAATCATTTTACTTGAAAAGTTTAGACTCAAATATCACTGCTTAGTGGCCAAAGACAACACGAATAGCCTTAATGTCAACTAAAGAAATCCTAACTTCCCTTTTATAGATTGAACCACGTAGCTCGTCACTCTTCCGCTAACAAACAGCGGGTTGTTGAAGTCGCAACATACTTAAAGTGTGAAGATTGCAAACCCCCAATTTTTTGTACCACGACACAGTTCCAGGAAGTGTTTGTATATTTAAGTTAGTTTTTAAGTCTTGCAGTCAACTGCTGTAGACATTTTACCCACGCTTCCGCATAGAATTAGTGGTAAGAGTCTATTAAAATTCAACCTAACCGTTTTTTTTTTGTTTGGACTGTTATGTTTAACGCTAAAAATAAAATGCGACCTTAACGTTGATTTTCCATTTTCGGAAGACTTATTTAGGACGGACTTTGGCGTCTTTTTTCTTGCGGACGACAAACCTGTTGTACCACGCAATAATTGAACGTCTGCTGTAAACAGGTGGTCATTTTCCATCTCAATGTGTTGCTAAATTTACTTAAAATTGTAGGTGATGCTGACCTGGTAATGGTCAAATGATATGTACAAGACTTTGCCTTTGACTTTTTAAATTGTTTTGAGAATGATACATGACATAAAATCATTTGTTTGTTATTTTTAACTATATATTTTCTATCATTTTTAAAGTTGATTTAATTATACCAGCTGTTATGATAACCGCCTGTATTTTTACCCTCTCCTACAGAAGATGGAGAACTTCATCCTGTACGAGGAGCTAGGGGCTGGCTGCAACTCTATTGTATATAAAGGAAGAAGGAAAGGCAATCTCAACTATGTGGCCATCATCTGCACTGACAAAACAAAGAGACCGGAGATTACTAATCATGTAGGATGCTATTTAAACTGTGAACCTTAGTAATTCAGTTATTCTCATTTTTTCTTTTTTCTTTTTGTTTAAACTTTAATACAGTGATGTGACATACACATTTTAGGGTGGGGTGTTTTATAAGGAGAAGTCAAATGGGATTTTCTTCCTATTTCTCTTAGGTACGCCTAAGCCATGATTTGGATCATCCAAATATCATACACTTCTATGAGTGGTATGAAACAAGTAAACATCTCTGGTTGGTTGTGGAGCTCTGCACTGGTTAGTACTTTGAATTGAATTTGCTTTAATTGTATTACAATTGGCTGAAAGAGAAACAGTATCTTTAAAGTGCCTGTAGCTGACATTCGGTGTCAAAAAGAGTACGCAGCAAAGACATACTGGCAAAATGTATTGTTTTTGCAAATATTTATCCATTTTGAATTAGATGCCTGTGACATTTGTCAAAGAAATCTGGGATAGGGACATGCTTACCAGGTTACCAATACACAATAAATGTTTAGGAACTGGGGACACTAAATGTTGAGACTTTGGAGGTGGAATTATTGCCTATTCTTGCCTGATGTATGACTTCAATTGCAAAACAGTTCAGGATGTCAGTTGTTGTATTTTGCACTTCATAAAAGGCAAAAATGGGAGACAGGTCTGGACTGTTGGCAGACCAGTACCTGCAGGATTTGAATATGAGGTCACACTGCTGTAACATAGGCTGATTTTTCTCTATGCATTGCTTTGCTGTTTCTTAATTGAAAATGGCTGTTGAAATTTTTTTTGTGTCTTTGTCTCTGATGATCTTTATTTTCTTACTTAAATTTCAGTCTTTTCTCTGCCTCTCTCAGGTGGTTCCTTGGAGTCTGTAGTTTCTCATGATGGCAGTCTGTCAGAAGATGTAGTAAGGAGGTTTGGATGGGACTTGGTGAAAGGACTGAGACACATTCATGAATTTGGTATTATTCTTTCTGACCTGACCCCTGCTAAGGTTAGCATTTGTATTAATTTGATCCTGAAATGGAAAAGTGAAACAGTGCTGTTATTATTGTTCTGTGAATGTAACACATCTTGCCTATTATTTGTAGATCCTTCTAGATGGTAGTGGCATTCTGAAGTTCGGCAACTTCTGTCTGTCAAAGGCTGAGGGAGAGACACTGGACGATATGTTTAAGTTGCTCTCAACAACTGAGGTGGCAGTGGACGGAGAAAGCAAGGACAACATGAAAAAGAGATTACAGGGTAAGATAACTATTTTGAACTACATTATTTGCTGTTTGTTTATAAATTTGTCAAAAGTCTAAGCAGAGGATTATCCGCAGAGAAACAAAATACCCTCTGAGTGGACGCAGATTAATCGGCATGCAGTCTATCAGCTATGCTGGGCCTTTAAAAGTGGCTTAGGGTATCACTTAATGTTATATAACCAGGATATCAAAGCGTGCACCTAATGAGCCAGCTTAGGAGTGCCTTTGTACAGTAAAAGTTTCTTTTTAAAACAGGGATACAGAACAGCTCATGTTTTGGTTACTTTGGTTATCATGCCAGTCACTAAAATATGAAAGCAATTCTATCACTGTTGAGTTTGTGCTGAATGAGAACTAAGCTTTCTAAGATGTCAATTTTCCTCATATGCTTTGTCTGAAATGAGCTAAATGTTTGTCTTCTTGTGCTTTTAATGTAATAACAGTGAGTATGTTTATTTCAAGGTTCTCCAACCTACAGTGCTCCAGAGGTTTTGCAGGGATCAGAAACCAGTATAAGCTCTGATCTCTGGGCTCTGGGCTGCATCCTCTACTATATGTACACGGGTACCAGCTTTAACACACACTCACACAATAACACACGCATACACTGGAACGCATTAATGCTTAAGTAGGGCTTCAGTTTGTATGAAGTTTGTCCTTTATTTCTGTTTTTGTTCTTTTGAACATCTACAGTGTGAGCTCATATATTGATACTCCTAATACACACTTGACAAATCTTTATGGTTAAACGATAAAATCAGTCTTTGAATTGTCATGAAAAGTGAATTACAAATAATATTAAATTAGTAATGACGTTCTATGCTATTTTATAATGTACTACATTTTACGGCATTTAACTGTACTATACAAATATATTTTGCTTTCCCAGGTAAACCTCCTTTTTACTCTGACAGCTACGCTGAACTGACAGAAATGATTCTTCATCAGGAAGCACCACGTCCAATACGGATGGGTAATGCACACATTTTTTTTCTTCTACACACAAATTACTTATTTAATTTTCATACTCTTTAGTGAAACAAATAGCCCTATGTTAAGTTGCCAAGAGAAGTGTTTCCATTTATGTATTTTTTTCTTCATATTATAGATAATAAAGTCTTATATTACTGGCTACAGTTCCTTCTACAGATCCCCCCAGTCAGGACTTCCAGAAACTTCTTAAAGGCTTATTGAACAAAAAAACAGATAAGAGGTACTTTTTATGTTTTTGTTAGTCTTAGATAACAAATAGAAATTCATAAAGATAAATGTTAACTTTTTTGTTTTTGCCCTCTTTAGGATGAAGTGGCCAGAGTTGTTGGATCACCCTTTCTGGACACAATTAATAAAGGAGGAAGCAGCCAGAGATGCTGAAGGACAGGTTGAAGACAGAGATAAGGAACAAAACGATGCCTGTGAGGGAGTTAGCTCAGTAAATTTAAGGTGTGTTTATGTCTCATTTTCCTTAGCATTATGCTCCTTTAGCTTTCCACAGACTCTGTTTCAGCAGTTTTACTGTTGGCAGATTTGACTTCAATGTGTGTGAGTTTTTTTTCTTAATACATTCACAGAGACACAAGACAGTGTGACCGTGCTCTACCTGGTAGCCAATTAGTCACCACCCAGCCAGGCTATAGGCTGTCTAAGAAACTGATCTCTTCAAAAACAACCAGTGCAGCAGCGTACAGTGCACATGGCACAGAGACTCAATGCCAAAAATCAGCCAAAAATAGTTCTTCTGGTACCCTAAAGAACAGCCAGGATCTGTATCTGGAAATGGGAAATGAAAGCCAAGAAGAGGTGCTGGTAAAGTCTGGAGATGATTTAGAACACAGCTCGTTACATCGCCCCAAAAAGTCCTTAACCAAAGGTAAAACATTCTGAAATGTTATATGTGTTAAGTCTACTGTGTGTTTCTTCTTTTTTCTGTGATTAGTCGAGTAAGCTGTAGAATCATTACCCTGTGTCAGCAGTTTCCTGGCAATAAGTGTGACTCATTTGGTGTAAAAAGAAATGCAGTTGCAGGATGCAATCCAAATGTATTTCTAATGTTATGAGCTTGTATATTTTTTGTGCTTACTTCTTCAGAAAAAAATTTGGAGCTGAGGCCAAAGAGTGGTGTGGATGAGGACAACAACGAGGATGTCTTTGTGCTTAGGTATTCCGTTTTTCTGCGTTCTGGGTGAATGCATATCCTTTTTAAACTTATTCTGCAAACTCAACCAATGTTTTAAATACTAAATAATGTAACCTGTACATAGTGCATTATGTTAATAAATCAAATACAGTAATTTATTGATATCTTGGTAAAAAATCAAGAAATTACCTAATGGCATCTTAATACCTATGACAGAAAGTTACAAGCTACGTTACAAAGAATCAGTCCGTTACACGTTCTTCTTGTTCCTTCAGCTCCTGTACCAACTCAAGAATAAGCAGTAATGTCTCGGCTTCTTCAAACCAGAACCCTGCACCCAAGGTGACTTTAACTGTATATATATTTATTTGTTCTCTTCTGCAGATTTGAAATCCTCTGACTCTCTTTCTTTTGTTTTCCGTCTTCTTAGGCTAGCACTGATATTGATGTCGCACACTGTGTGAAGTGCCTTCTCCATACTGACGCTGATCTGATTGTGGCGCCCATCATTGACAACCCAAAGGTACAGACAGAAAAGAATGGTACAGGCGGTACTAGTAATCTGTTATGTTTCTACCAAGTGTCCGTGCATGAGGCAATTCTGGTTGTTCACGTTGCATATTAATCACTAAGTGAAGGTGTGTGATTGTACGATAATGAAATTATTATCATGTATATTACATTATGTGGATAAATATTACTGGACAATGAAACTTGTGGCTTCCGATTACAGAGTTTTAAAGTATCAATGTAATAAATGGCTTTCATTCTGAATTCAACCAGACAGAGTAGCATGTAAAAAAAATATCACGGGCATGAAGAAACTGAGGCACTCAGTCTGAAGAGGACTTTGTGGTGGTGCTGTTTTGTTTTCACAGATTGTTAAGATGACTCCTGTGCGATACGATCCCAAAATCCTTTGTGTACCAGCATATTCAGGTATATATTTCTGGCTCTAGTAAAGCAGATAACAGTTTTAGTGTGGGTTCATCACGTCCGGGTTGTGTTGAAGTAGTTGTGTCTATGTACTTCTGCTGTAGTTGAGAAGCTGCAGTCTCTGAGTGATGAGGAGTGGACTGTCTTCTTGCTACAACTCTGTTCATCCTTTGAACATCAGAGCCTTTCCAACTGCTCCCCCTCCTCCAGTGCTCCTGCTCCATCAACAGCCATTCGATCTAAACTCAACTTGCTGTGCTATCTCTGCTGTGTAGTCGGACATTCAGCTGTTGCTAACAGGCTGATTAACTCCTCACTGGTAAGAAAACATCTGTTTGTTCCCTTTGGGATTTCCGGACTGGGTTTGATGAGAATACTTGTGAGTGTTTTGTAATGCATGACAGTTTGTGGGTCTCCTTTTTTAAGCAGTACAGAACCGAATTGGTAAAATATAAACCCTGATTTTAACTCCAGTGAGTTTATTTTCTCCAGCGTCCTTGTGCTCTGCCTGATATATTTTCCATTAGCTGCTGCCAGACCCAGTTAGAAGCTGGTTCAACTTTAGCAAGAACTTTTATTATTCTTTCATAGGCTTAAAGAGGCCCATCATTATATCACTGCTACAAACAGTTTTTTTTACATTGTTTTTAGAGCAGTGAACAGCTGGCGATATCAAGATAATTGTAACAGCAATTTTTAATGCTGCCTAAGGCAATGCATTGGCAATTGGAAAAAAGTTTTGACAACTTTGCAAGTTTGCAAAACTCAATTAAGAACAGTCAATGCGGAATTTCTTTTTTTTTTTTTTAAGAGGTTTCAGTTTTGATATGTCCCTTTTGTCTTCATAACCCTACACTTAACCTCACCTGTGACTTCAGGAGTCTGTTATCTGAACTGGAAAATAGGTGGTGCTGCTCTTGTAGTAACCAGAGGGGCTTATGTGAAACATTTTACAGATATTTTCTCCTTGTTTATAAAGAGCCTGTCGATAATTATTACATTAAGTATTTTGAAAACATACAAATATTTGTTAACATGAAGAAATAGCTTTAAAACAAACATGCCAATTTCGACAAATACCTTTTTTTTCTGCAAGGTGACACAAGTCAATGACGTGCTTTTACAAAAATAACAGCGACGCAGCTTCCTTTTATGTTCACCTCTATTTAATTCAGGGGTGTGGCGTTCCCTATGCTAATCTGTCCCGAACTTAAAGAAGAAGTGTATGTTAAAAAGCCTGAAATCACACCATAAAAAAAAATGACTCCCATTTAGCTTGTCTTCAGTTTATCCCTGGATATCTGGAGGGATACTGATTCATCTTTTAGGTATAGTCCTGCTGCAATTTCTGAGCTTAAAAAACCCAAGTTGTTAAAACACACCAAGGAACATGTTAACTATATATGAATTTGTATTTTAATTTCACCTTGCACATCAGCTTTGTAAGCTCTGGACTTCACTTTTTTTCCATTGCTCTGTGTTTTGTTTACAAGTTTAGTAACATGAATAGCTTCTGATTGTGAACCAAATGCTGCAACACCTGAACTGGAAGCTTTGTAGAGATGTTAAGAGAAGCTGGATATCTCTGTAAAGGGGTATAAGTTTGCCCTGCAAATCTTAACCTATCACTGAGTTTTTGTGTTGCAGACACCCAAATGTCTATTGTCAAGCACAGAAAGTTAGAGATTTTTCTATATGCCCTTATATATGCAGTATACTGTATATCATAATTTTATTTAATTATAATAGGTCCTTTATCTGCTTTGACAGTCTTCCTCTCAAATCTCGTCCTTCCTTCATTCAGCTTCCAGTTTTGACTCACCAATTACGACAAGGCCCAAACTGGGATGTGTAAGTATGCTATGCGTGTTGTTTATTTAGCTCAGTGCTGTCTGTCTCACTTTCTTTTTTTAATTTTAAATCCTTTTTTTGTTGAATGACGAAAAGGAAAACTTTGTTGCAGGCGTAGCAGAGTTCTCAGGACGATGGGTCTCCTGGCTCTACACTGCAACCACCTTGAAGAGGACTGTGCGGTTTCAGAGGTATGGAAAGAAAAAACACAGAGATGCAATTATGTTTTAAGATTTGTTTTTAGTTGAATAAACATTTCCCAAAGCTATGTACTATTCTAACTACAAATGATACTAAACAGTTGAATCGCAGAGCTAAACTAACCAGAAAGTACCTAACTGAAAACTCTTTTGACATGCTTTGACCATTAGACATGTAGTACCAGCTTTGACCATAGGTAGGCAGTAATCACCAAAAGACACCTTCCAACATAAGAAGTAAAAATGTCAGAAATGTTGCGCATTAAATATAAGATGTGACTTTTCTTAAATGATACGTTGTTTTTTTATGTTAATGGCAATATCGGCAGTCGTGAAATTTTTTTTCCCTTTTAGTCAGAGAAAATCTGCCTGATTTAAAATGAGGGTAGATGAGACTCAGTCCGTTTTTATTCTTAGTACCAGTTTGGACCAGCTGGTGGCATTAAAAACCCACGAGACACCATCCTCTGAGTTCATGAAAACCGAACTTTGCTCTCTCTCAAACACATGCACACACAAGCATACAGAGAAAGATCCTTTGCTAATCTGGTTCTTATATTTATCTACATATGTTTACTCAATCTTTTCCCGCACAGATGCACCTTTACGGCAACCGTTCTGTTTACAATGTCATAAACCCTAGAAATGGAATTCAATGTTGGTTTTATGTTTTAATACACAAAAACCTAAATGAAGAGTTCCAAATTCTGACAGTCTGTTAAGGAAATAACTTATACTGTAGCTTCTGTGATGACATTTTGATTTAATTGATTTGCATGAATCTTTCATTGATTTGGAATGTTACTGTACATATAAGAGCAGTCTTTCACCTGGAAATGATATTGGTAGATATAGATAACACAAGAAGATTGAAAAATCACTGTCCAAGCAACATAGGACCCTTGACGGGGTTTTACTGTACTGTGATATAGGGATTTTTCCAATGGATACCTCAGGCTTTTTGGGCTTCGGGGTTAGGTGGTAGAGAATTACTCTGCTGAAACAGGCTGCTAGAGTTAAGGAGTGATGGTTTAATGAAGGCTTAGTCATCCACAATGTTGTAGATGGGTGGTACATCTCACTTCTCACTTACACTGTAATGACATTTTCAAAGTTGTTAGCATTATCTGCAGCACACGACTGTGAGCACAGCACACTGCAGAAAAACATGCAGCTGATGAACTGCTCTTTGCAATAACTCCAACAAAAACTCAACATTATAGCCATCAAGAACAAATGGGTTTATCAACCCGTGTTTTAAAGGTTGTATGAGTTTACCCTGATATATCTTCACTTGAATCGTTGTGTTTAGATCATAGTAATACCCATAATCAAGAGGGTGCACAGTGAATACAAATGGCTACACTCTGTTTCCTTTATGGACACACAAGCAGGGAATTTTATAATCTAACTCAACTCCCATAAATACACAGCCATGTTCAGACAAAGGCTTGCTCAGCTTGTCAAATATAAAAAGTACTTTTGCATTAGTGCTAAACTTTGACTTCTCAATTATTTAATTGTCTACTTTCTTTTTATTTAATTTTTGGTTCCCAGTTTGATAAAATTATGGAGTTTATTTAGAATTACATGTGTGACTGCTATCCTACATCTGTTTCTGTATTTTCTCCTCTCTTGCACATTACTCCTGCTGCTGAGTCTTCAGTCATTTACAAAATGGCTGACTTTTCCTGAGCAGTGTTGTGTCAGTGCACTAGTTAAAGACAAATGGCGGAACAGTCTTTCCACTACTCTCTTTACCTCCCCTCAGCTACCAAATGATTCATTGTTGAAAAAGGGATAACGTTGCACAATTCACCCTGTGTATCTTTGTGTGTGTGTTTGTGACTGTGGACATGTGTGACCATCTATGGACCCAGCAGGGGTTCTCTGTGTATGTGCACGTGTGTGCGTGGGCTTTAAAAAAAAAAAAACTTTGTTTGTGTGAGCTCCCAGCAGGGGTACTGGATATGCAGTTTTCTCTGTGTCTGTTGTTATTTTCATCTTGTTTGTGTGTGTGTTTAGGCACACAGAAGTGCTCGCACATGGGTGTATGTCTGTGTTTCCTTATGTTGCAGTGATTCTAAAAGATGACCAATAAAGAGGCACACACTTGCGTTTGTGTGTGTGTGTGTGTTGTCACAGCAGGGGTTCTCCTGCTGCAATCCTGCTGATTGGCGTGTGAGGACTGGGTTTAGTTACCATGGTAATTGCAATAAGCTTCAGTTACCTTCCAATATACACAAACACACAATACCAGGGCTAACCTGTCATCTTTTCCCATTATCTTTTTTTCTTTCACTTTTGGTTAATTCTTATTTCCCTCGAACTGTTTTTATTCATACAGAGGTGGATAATTGTAAACATATCTTGGTTAATTTTATTAGTGCAAGAGTTTATGTTTTAGTATAATGTAGACAGAATACATTCAAAACCATTTACATTTAGTTTCTATTCTCAGTCATTTGAAAAAGAACACACAGCTTGGGTGTTTGAAGTTCTTTTTGTCAAGGTATGATAAAAATCCTCTGTCTTTTGTTTCGTCTTAAAAATGAGTCCACCAAATCAGAAAAAAAATTGCATGATACTTTGACATTTCCTATTAAAAAAAAAAGAAAAAAGAAGGATGTCAAAATGCACGAACAATGTGAGAAACAAAGGCATCCTCGATGCCTCCATAAGAATGAAGAGGGTAAGCAGCAAACGGGTGCTGCTGACCAAATGCACTAGATCAATTGATCTTCATTACGAGTGAGCACATCTGTGAAATCAGAAGTTTTATCTGTTTGCTCCTCTGTAGCGTTTAATACAGTGCCAAGAAGTAAGCATAACTACAATGATCTCAAAAGAGTCATCAGACTAGAGAGGGTACCAAAGTCAGTGGACATATGCAAGTCTTTGTTTGAATAAAAATTAAAAAAAACCCTCACACCAATTGTCACGCCTGGTGGTGGTGGAGGGCTGATGCCGCAGGGACTGGGCACTTTGTAGTAAGTGAGTGAGCGGCAAATTTTTCTTTCTAAACAGTATTGAAAAGTCTCATATGAGGCCATCCGTCTGACAGCTAAAGCTGAACTAAAATCAGGTCATGAAACAGGACAATGATTCCAAGAACACCAATGACAATATCTAAAGAAAGGAATCAAGGTGTGTGAGTGGCACATAGTCCAGACCCCAAACTGATTGAAATGTCCAATCAGTCCAGACTGATTGAAATGCTGACCTGGACCTTATGAGATCCGATCAATAACAAATGCATGCAAATGCCTTGTGCTGTTGCAATCTTAAAAAAAAAGGTCTGAGTGAGAAGATAATTACTTTTATTACTTTTATTTACTGCTGCCGAAAAGGGTTAAACACTATACTGAGTAACGTGATTTTCTAATTTCTTTACACATTGCTTCTGCATTTCTGCTAAATAATGACTTGGTGTAGGATGTCATATGCTGTTGTTCGTCTGAGAATGTTTCCCCCCTTTTTACACTGGTAAAACCTTGGAATTGAAAGAGGATGTATTTTCTATGGGCCTAACCACTAAAGACTGTTCTGGGCGCGTCGTTTCAAAGGGATGTAGAAATGTAATGTAGCCTAAAAGCTCACAGCAATCTGTAGGAGCACTCATCAGAGGGTACTGGCTTTGCGGAGACGGTAGTGAAAGTATGTGTGAATACACTTTGCAAGGAAGAGATGAGAGATTAAATCTACTTGCAATATACTACTTTAACACTAATGCAAAATCACAGAAAATACTCCTATTGTCAAGCAGAAAATATTTTGTTGAAATTTTCCTAGAACCTTTAGATACACATATTTGTGTCTTGAAGTTAAACCATGCATCTTCTACTTTCTTTTTGGTCTAATTACCATTATGAATCGTCTGCCACGGAATCATTTAAAACATGATTACATTAAGCAAGTATTTGTCTTGGGTTCACTCAAGAGAAACATGACCGTGTAATTGAATAAGTGAAGCGCATTTAGGTTGAGAGCTAGAAGATAAGTTTACCTCTGACCATACTGGTGCTTTATCTCTTCTTTTATTTCAACAACGGATGCAATGTGTAACTTCGGTTACCATCCCCTTTATCATCCATTCCTAATTCATTAATATATTGTGTAATCTTTTACCCCTGTTATATATTTAACTTAAATTTGAATGATGGTTATAGCACTAGTCCCAGTTCAAGATAATAATGAGCATATTGACAATGTTTCCTGTTGGGCCTTTCCTGGCTCTCTGCCAGCTGATCTAGGCTGAAATGTCTGAAGTAAACATTACTACTTAGCACCACTTCCATGACTGCACTCAAGGCAAGTTAAAAGTTTGCATGACTACAGCTCAAGCTGTTGGATCCGCTTACACCTGATGGTCAGATAGTTAACCTCAGTCATATTCTATCATTGCAGTTGTTACAGGGATTTTACATGATGTAAATAGTTATTGAAGCACCTTTATGAGATGGTGGGATTTATGGCTTTGAATGAATGTTTTAGTGGTTTATGTTCTTGTGTTCTTATCTAAACTGTATCTCACACTCATTCCAGGCGGTGTCATCACTAACAGATTTACTGAGGGATAATTTCAGGAACAATAAACTGAAGCAGCTGCTGCTGCCACCACTTGCGGAGTTCCTCTACCTCATTTCTTCTCAGGTACAATTTACACGTCAAATGTTTGCTCCAAAATAAGGACTACATTGTTAGTTAAAATGAAGGAAGCCATGCTTAACCCAAAGTAATTTAAGCAAATTACAAATGAGTGTACATGGGTACAAGAAGGTTCCACAGAGACTGAGAATCTTTAGTTTTTTCTACACTTTCTTGTCATCAGTGGATTTTCCATACAGTGTGATAAAGGGGCTCAATTAATAAGAAATGCTCATTAAATTAAATGATTTGTCGCAATTTTTTTATAAATCTGTAAACCATCATAAATGATTATTGATAATAAGTGATGCAAATCAAGAAATATAAAATATGTTGGTTATCAGGTAAGCAAGAAGGCAGCTTCTGACAGTGTGAACGGATGATTCAGTGATTAGCTGAAACTAAATGTTCAACATTTTATGTGCACACTATGGAAATTATTCTTATATGCAGCTTATAGAAGCACTGGCAAAAAATGTATTCATTTTTTAAGGTAGTATTTCTTGTGTGTAATGTCAACAAATACCTTCAAGGCCAAAGGTGCTTGTCTTTAATATTATCTGTCTGACGCATATCTATTTGAAAACAAGAATAACCCAACACAGAGTGAAATCTGCGAATAAAAACAATTTTGATAAAGATCTATTTCTTTTGAATTAATAACTTTGAATCAGTCAAACGTAGCGTTTATTGAAAGGCATTTTCTCATTTGGCTCAGTATGAGAGCCTTATCTTGAGTGGAATGAATGAAACTGAGCACTCCATCATCACTTAAGGGCGCTTAATTTTACATGCTGGCTAAAGTGAATTGAAAAGAAATTGACGTCTGCCCTGAAAATTACAAGATAGATTGGAAGAGGCTTCTTCCATTAAAGAGGTGATACCAAATTTATTTCTGCTTTACCAGCAAGCCAATTAAGCACACTTTTATTTACTTGTCTCATAGATAGCCTTCAAAAATCAATCAGCTAACCTGTTTACACTAAATGTAATGCTGAAGCCAAAGAAAATATCTATAGAAGCTTTAATGAACTGACATGTCATCTCCTTCAATCTGTGATAATGGAATGGTTAAGATTTTTCTTAAAACAAACAAAAACAAAAATGAAGTGAGGATTCCTCCCAATTCAGCAGGAGTTGCCCTGAAACTATTTGTTGTGATTTGAATCCAAATGACACATATTTTCTCAAAGATCCAACACTGTTCTTTTTCTGCTTCAGAGAAATTACTACATGCTTGACATCTGTCATATTTTTGTGCTTGGATCTGTCCAAAATATTTGGAATAGAAATAGAAACTTGTACAGGTAATTAACAAAGGGGCTTTTCTTAATTCTTCGCTTCTTAAGTCATAAACAGAACAAACAACACTCCTGTTCTATGTTCACTATGCTAATATTAGTGTCTCTCACCAATTACAGCTAGAACCACTACATCATGACTTTTTGGCGAAAGAGAACCGTTTATTTGATTAAACTTGTCTAGAACAGGTAGTCAGGTAATCTATTGTATTCACATGATGCCACTGGGTTGTCATCGCTTAAAACCTGCGTATAAAGTTGTAACATTAAAGTAAGAACACACATTAAATCTTAATATTTTATACTTTACTTTTAGTCACCTCTTTGTGTCTATGAGGTCAGCAAAATTAGAGAGGTTAAAATGAACACAAGTGAATTGTGAATTTTTAACAAAAAATAAAAAAAGAAAGAAAAAAATGTCCCATTTAATCAAACAACATGACACGCTAATATCACGTAAGCTACAATTAAAACAAGAAAAATAATATACATTTACAATGTTGAACCTATAATATTACCCATATAAAACAATCATAGGACTAATCTATAAGATTGATGCTACATCGATAGGAAGGTGGAGCCATCACAATGCTGGTACAATGTGCTAATGCATACAGTAGTTTTCAAAGTGATGGAAAGTTAACAAATTGTTACCTAAACCAAAGTCTCGATAAAAGGCCCAGACTGTGTTTAGATGGCTGTAAAAGCACGTTGCTCATTCACGATAACCACGCAATCACGATGTCTTGACTTCTTGTGCTTCCCTCCCTTACTTGGCCTTTTCCTGCCCTTTTCCTCTCTCTTCACCACTTGCATCTCATCCACTCTATCTGTCTGCCCTCCTCTCATTCCCACTCCACTCCTCCACTGCCCCCACCCCTTCACTTTACCCCCCCCCCCATCCCCTCCCCTCTTACCCTTCCTCCCTGTCTTTCCTATGCCTCTCTATCAGCAGGAGAAGAGAGGCTCCCCAGAGGGACTATGGTTCGTTCCCGCTGCCGCCTACACTGGCTTAATGAGGAGCCTGCGGGAAGGGGTGAGTGTCTCTGTGTACGTCTGCGTGTGTCTGTTTGTGTCTGTGCATGTGTAGCTGTGACTAAGTCTCTCACACTGTGTGTGCCTGTGTGTGTGGCAGGGGATCCCTGTGAACAGTAATGATGAGGCAGCTGTGGGGGCCTAAAGCGTTGTTTGCCAGCTGCAAGTCAAGGGCATGCAGAGCAGTCACACACATGCATGCACACACTCTTACCTGCATCAAACACAGCCCTTTACTGCTCAGCACCCTGACCTCAGCAGCAATTAGGACCCTCTAGACACACAAATAAAGTAGATGGAGCAGATCCACCAGCGGAAATGTGGATACATTTTTTGCTTTATTTCTTTTTTCTCTTTTCTGTCTTATTTCATATCTGTAAGACAGTAAGATAAACATATGGTAATTTTAACTATTTGGTTTCGACTTAAGTTGAAAACTAAATGTTTGTCAGGTAAGGCAGCAAGTGAAGCAAATGTGTCCTTATCAGATGGGTAAAGTAAAGCTGAGTAGTTTTATCTTATTTACTGTAAGTATTTTGTTAAAAAAAAAAAAATCAGTCCTTGCAATCATGTGATTTACCTAGAGGGAACCCTAACACCTAACGGGCGCTCTTAATTGGTCAGGTTACACAGCACTCAACTACTCAACAACATTAGCTGAAATCAAAGCTAGTGAAGATAGGCCGTTGTCTGCACATATGTAGTTGGTTGTTTATGGACTTAACTGAACACATGAATGACAGAAGGTTCCTGACCCCCTCAGTTCTGTCTCTGCCTTACTTTGCTCCTCCATTTGAACACATTTCCACTTGGATATGATGCCAGTGCTTTTTCCTTGAATCAATGTTGACAGTACAGTAAATGTATTGTCTTTTCTTGCTTACTTTTTTGCTTTACTTTTGTTTGTTTGACCAAAAGTACAGTTACCCATGCATGGAGTATTTTTATTTCTGAGGATAAGTTGTGTGTTGCCCCCGTGTTAAGTAAATGAACAGAGGAGAGGTCTCTGTGACACGGTGCTGAGTGGGAGGGGGTTGACTTATTATTTATTTCTCAACTGTATGAGGTCTATGAAGATGCGGTAAATTCCTTAAAAGCTCACCCCAAGAAAGCAAAGTAAGATCACAATTATACATTTTCAAAAAATCTCCCAAGTTGCTGTTTTATTCTACTTAAACTTACATGGTAAGAAGAAAAGGTTGGTCAGCTTGTAGTGTGTCCATGTGGCGTTTTCAATGATAAAGATTTAGGTTCTGCACATGAATGCATCCGTGATACTTGATGTATCTGCCTTCTATAGCTGAATGGTACTATTAGCAGAGGTAGAAATGTCCAAAAAGTTTTCTGAAGTCAAATCGATTATTACCCCACCTCTGCTGGACTGTTATACCTTTGGTAACAGCTCTAACAGTAACATTTTAATTCCACTTTTTTCTTAGTGGCAGTGGTCTTTTTACACCTTTTTTAATCAAAGGTCTGCCTCAGATTCTGATTATCATGGAAGTGAGTACACAGCCAGAAAAGATTTCCAGAGTGAGGTATTTTGGCTTAGAATAAGGCTGAGGTAATATCACTGTGTAACATCTGTTCAAGGTTTAAGCTTTTAAGTCTTATAAAACATAGTGCCAGATACTTTAAAGAAAAAAATAATTGGCCCTATTTAATCTTTTATGAGTAACTTCTTTGAATCAGCGTTGAGATAGTTCTGATTTGACCTGAAATATCAGAATGTGGCCATTTCAACTTTTTTTAATCAAATTTGAAGCCCATTAGAAAAGCTCTGAAATTCTAGTGCTGCAGGTGCCAGATGCAGTGCTGCCTAACTTGCTGACTAGCACATCCAGCTATTCACCTGGCATGCAGACAACTTGATTTTCCGTACCACAAATTCTGTGATGGTGCCGCAGAGGTGGCATATGGTTGCAACAGCTGAAGTCATAATGTGTATTTCTTGGCACCCTCTTGAAAATTTCGACTGAGCTTTTCTTCTTCTTCTTTTTTTTTTTAAACATTTATCTCCCACTGCTTTGGATGCTGTACTGCTGTATCTAAAGTATGTGCTGGACTCCAACATTCCTTTACACCACTCCTAGACTATACCTGCACACAGCACACAATAACAGGCGTAAAGGAGGAGGATTCGCAGTGTGAGATAACAAACAAATTGTGAAATTCTGGATATGTACCTGACAGACATTACTGTGTTTTTGCAGACAGATATTACCGTGAACTGAAACGTTCCATCAAAGTTTTCTTCCATGGCAGTTTACCTTTGTTACTCGCTGACTCTGCATGTGATGTAACCTCAATTCTCAAATCATAATACAAAGTGTAAAATGTAAATAACAAAATAACAGAAGGGAAGTGTTTTCAAGTGTCATGTTTTTTGTCCACAATAGAAAACATGCTTTTTTGTATTGAGAAATGTTACTATTTTAATGTGAGTTACAGCTCATCTTGAATTTGATAGCAGCAACATATATCCCAAAGCATTGGACACAGCCATGGTTATTACCGTGCAGAATCCCATCTTCTTTTAACCACAGTTTGTAAACATCTGCAGCGGAGGAGGTCAGTTTGCTGCACCTTCAGGAGTGGGCCGTTTTCCCATTATCGTTTGATATGTGAACCAGCTGCTCAGCAGTCGTCGCTCTCCTTTATTGTATTTCATTTTTTTTACAATGCACTCCAGCTGCACAGTGGTGTGGATTTAGCCGGCAGTGGTCCCAGCTGGGTCTGTGAGGACACCTCATGTTTTCTGTGGATACCGTCAAGTTTAATAAGTTGCACCAGCACATTTGTACATGTGCAAGTAATACAAGTGGCTAGAAGAACGGTTATGCAGCAGATTTTCTTTTTTGTAGTCTCCGTACAGAGACCACAGACTGGTGTTAGATTGTTTTGTTTCTCTAATGAAATCATTATATTTTCCCAAAATGTTGCCTCAAGTAATACAGGTGGATTATTCATGAAATTGACATTGGAGAAAAGATCTTTTTTTTATTTTACCAATTCACTATTTCTATTATTAATTCTGTATCAAGGCTGAAGAAGGTCGAATGTGAAACTTATATTTAAAACTTATTACAGCAAAAAATGTGTGAAACCACAGTTGTGCAGTCACTTATTCTCCATTTCTCTCATAATCTTATATTGGAAGAACCAAGCTGATTATGTGTACCTTACTGTACAGATGTCTGTCCTGTGGCGTGATTAAGTGAACCCCTAGGAAGTCTCCCCCTGTAAGAAAAACGTTCCACAGAGTAAAAGCCACCTACAAAGATGGTTCTAACAGAAATTTGAAAGTTAAAGTGTCTTTGGAGGACATTCTGCTGCTTTAAAACTTAATCCGATCTTTATTTAAACAGCAACAACTAACAGGAAACCTCAAGTAGCAGTGTTAAGAGACAGTCATCTCCTGTTATGCCCCCTATTATAACTTATCACACAAGACAAGATTAGTCTTGATTAGATTAATTTTGGACAAAATGCTTTGTTTTGGTGACGAGAAACTGGAACAATAAATGTTACAGATATCTCATCTGATACTGAAACATGTCCACAGAATTCTCTGTGAGTGTAATATCTCTTAGATGAGATGCTATATTTCAGCCCCAAACTGCACAACACTGATCAAAAGCCCTGATTGTTAGACCGAAGATGGATGAAAATCCTCGGTAGTTAAAGTAATTCAGCTTGGTAATTTACTTTTTGAGTTTAATAGAAGCTTGGAAAATGCTGTAATGATTGGCACCACATCAGGTGCTTTACACTCTTCCCTGGACCCAAATGTTTTGTACAGTTTATCCTGTGATGCATTCACCTCCTTTTTTAAATGTAGAATGAACCACAACGTATTCTTTGCTGGATACAACATCATTATTGTAGTCGAAAGTGAATAGTAGCTCATAATTCACACAAGCTGATGTGGATCAGCATTAGTATTCATCTGCAGTTGTCTCTATAACAACCTGAGGAAAGTGATTTGGTCTGCTTTGCCTTCCGTTGCTCAAAATGAGCATCATGACAGACAATTTTCTAACTGAAAAATCCAGAATGGTTTACTAAAAGTAAATTAAATGCTGAAAAGACCAGAGGAAAACTATAGCATGGAAGAAGAAAGATCACTATTTGACACAGCACTGACACGATCCATTTGTTTTATTTATTTTGTGGAGACAATTATTATTATTCCAAATTGAGTGTTAGTCAGTCAGAGCAGAAAGAACTGTTCTTCTATTATACCTGTTGGTAGCTTCATTTTTTGTGCAGTTTATCTGATGCTTTCCAGTAAGCTCTGAAACTCTAAAACTGGTACAAAACGGCACAGCGTATTTATTACCCTTTTTGTACAACTTTCTCCAATCGACTATCTTTATTAATGATTTCTTCATTGGTTGGTAGGCAAAATTATTTGTATGCATTTCTTGTGTAATTTTGGCAGGGGAAAAAACATTTTCTACCAGTGTTCTCAATGCAAATCCGCTGCCCTCTACTGTTAATTACACGACGGCAATGAGACACAGTGCCAAGACCCTGTCAAATGTGCTCCAGGCAGTGTGTTTTTGATGCATTTTCTGACCTGCTGGATCACCCCAGCCCCTTCTGCTGCTGTTGAGAGTTGTTCCTTATTTACAAGTAAAGCACTGCAGTGAGGGATACAGATTGTTGTGCTACGGGAGGGGTTTGGCTGGGGAGGAGGGGTTGGTGGTGGTGGTGGTGGGGGGGGTACACAGCCAAAGGGATCATGATGGTTTTACCAATGGATAGAAGATAGTGAAGGAAGGCACAGAGTGACAGAGAGGAAGAAAAAAAGCTGGATCAGTGTAGCCGGAGAGGGGGAGGATATGGCAGGCAGACAGTGAGGAAGGGAGAGAGTTGTACTTGGAGAGGGGGAGTGGATGGCATGGAGTGAAAGGCAGGTTTCCAGGCCAGACTTGAGCTGCAGGAAATTATTTATGAGCCTGAACAAGATGATGCTTCAGCTGCCTATGATGAATAATCTGTGCGTGTGTATGTGTGTGTGTTTGCCTGTGCCTGCAACAGAAATGGTTTGTGAACAGTATTGCAGTGATAGAAGCCAGAGGGCAGTAGGCAGCAATCCCCCCCCTTACACACAAACGGACACTCGCACACATACACATGACAGTGGTAAGCCTATTAATGATTTATCACTATCTTTCACAAAGGAGAGGAGAACAGAGGATGACTCTTAAAAGACAGTCTTGTGCCCTCGCCTAGTGTCTCGAACACGGGATGACCACTTCACGCCAGTGCCCAATCAAAAGCTTTCGCACCCACGGAACGAAAAGAAGTCACTCTCTAATATGTAGTACACTAAAGGAAGTGGGTCCACTTCGGAGCAATGATTCAGAGCATGTGACATCTCAGTGACTGCTATTCACATGTTTAACAGGAGAGAGAACTCCTGCTTGTACATTAAATCAGACATTCATTACAGTCTCTTCTTCGTTAAATTGATAAGTTTCACCTCCCCAGCAGCTTTCGTGCTCTAGCAGCTCTGATCCTTGCTTCTTTCTTGGAATCAGGGGCTCTAGGATCAGTTCCTCCAGAGAAGGTAACCTGCCAATAGTGCAAAACTGTTTACCCATGCTGCTAATTAACACATTTCATATTCACGCTGAATAATCTCATATGTGAGGGTCAATGCTTTACAACTTTCAATTGAGTCCACAACTTATGATTAACAGACAATTCTATTACAACTAAACTAGTACTAGTAGGAGTTCTATTTTTATTTACTGCATGTAGTTATTCTTATGTACGTTACAGATGCAATCCGGTTATTCAATCCAAATAGATCAAATACATTGTGATCTAATGACCATCTACCAAAACTGGTTGGGAAATGAGTGGACAAGAAGAAGGGTAAACAATGCCCGTTACGCCAAACCAGCAACACCAGCTGAGAAAATACAAACACCAACAACTTCACAAATACATGGAAAGAAGGGATCGCATTCACATCCTCATCAGCTAACGTATCTCTCTGGTACTCGACTTTCTAACAGCACATATGCAGCAGGCTCTAATTCTCATCAATACAGCGTATCAGTCACTTCAAGCTCCTTTGTGTCTCTGTGCTTGTAAGCAGGCAGCCATAAGAATTTTCACTTCACTGCTATTAGAGTAATGTTGTATTGTTGTTCCTGAATAAGCAATACTCCAAGCCTTCCTCTAACTACAGCAATTTATAACTGTCCTCATGCCACGATTAGAGTCTTAGCAGTCTGGGTGGGATACTTTAAGAAGAAAATATTACCTGTCAAAAGATTTCATGATGTTTTTTGGGAAACTGTATACTTGGGTTGATTTCTTTGCTGTATACCATACCCATCTGGCATATTACTGTCTCTTCTCATATCTTTCCGAATATATCTGCGTCACTTTCCACTACCTACTCCTTTATATACCTAGTACTCTGTTTCCCGTCTGATTTGAGCCATGTCTTGTCTGCTTGTGGGTCCTATTCTGTGCGTCTAAGAGAATTGTGTGTAATGTATGTGTTTGTAGAACAGAAAGTATCTATATCTCTTTCAAAGGGGGTCATTGAAACCAGGTGCTCTAGCTTCTGAAAGCCCTTAATTACAGAGGCAAACCACATCAGACATGTGAACTGCCCTCATGTAGTTTTTGTAGTGGGGATGTCTTTGAGACGCAGAACAAGTACTAACATGTTGGATATAAAACTACTTCACCGATCAGCCCTGCAGAAGATGGTCTTCTTGTTCCACAGGCTTCTCTTTTAAGTTATTCATTTGAGAAGAACTTAGCCAAAGGTTCAAAGTGTTTAAAACGTATTTGTCAGTCCTGAGCTATGGAGTAGGACAGATCTTCATCTTAATTCAGTTGCCAGGAAGCCAGATAGCCCCGTGGAAACATGATGAGGATGGAAATCTTGTTTAAACAGAATACATGGGAGAGAAAACGGCTTGATTTTTTGTCATTTTTGTTCTGTATTTGATATCTGTCTTTGATAACTGCCTGCCAACAGTGAGTCTTAAGAGCTTTTCATTAAGCTTTTCATTAATATATATATCCTCTCTAAACCAACTACACCTGTGTATTCTCACATTCCTGCACATTCAGCGCCCCACTTCTTCCAGGAATTGCTGTATGTATTCTGAGTAATGAAAGTAATGACTCTGTTTGAAAACTATGATTTTGAGTCCAATACATAGGTGTGCTTGTGTGACCCTAATTGCGCTGAAGACAAACAGATTCTCTAAGAAGGTTTTAGAAATTACTTTTAAATTAGGAAAAAAACAAAAGAAAGAAAAGAAGAATCTTCATCTTATAAGGATTTCTTTTTTTTCCGTGTTAAGTCAGTGGGAGATTGATTTTAAAGAGGAGGTTGAATTTGTCCATTAACCATCCCCCAAACAAACCTGATTCAGAAACAAATCTTTTTGGATTGCTCCATTCCTAACCAAAACAGAAATTCTGAGGGCCTGTGAGATGCAGAGAATGTCAGAGAACCAGCATCCCTGAAAAACTACCATATTATTTTTAGGATTATCGACTTTATTAACAGACAACAGAACAGTCAGTCTGGTAGCAAGAGACATGCTCGCTGGCATCAGAACAGTGTGGGCCAAATAGATGCACAGTTCACCCCTGTGTTACAACACTGTTCATAATACCATTGTTGATGAGAAGCTGATGCTATTTAGAGGCCTCCTGCCCTTCTGAGCTCATTCTGTATTGGCCCGCACTATACTGATTCACAGATACTGATCTGTGGAACCTTCTTTGTCACATGCATGGAGGTTCCAGGTATATAGAAAGACGTCAGATGAGGGATCCTGCTATAGAAATCACACAGGCTTGCAATGGACCTACCATAACTTTGTTACTTTGCATAGGCTGGCACAGGAGGCTCTTCAGATGAAGCTGATGATGGTGGGAGCTGTGTACAAAGTAAATCCAAAGTTTCCATCTCACGTGTTGAAGACAAAGAACAAACCCAAGATATTTTTGGTGTCCCAAGAATTGCAATTAAGTGGTAAATGTTTGTGAACCAAGAGAATTTTATAACAAAATATCACACTGCGAAATTAGGAGCACACATGATGGAAAAGCTAATGATTGGCTGTAGCTGCAAAAAAAAAAAAAGCAAACCCTAAAATACCTTTAACTGCAGCTCCACTGGTGACTTTCATCCACCGTGAGTCACTGCCTGATGCAATACGCACATGTGCTAGCACTGCTGGGTAATGTGGCTTTATAGAACCTTACATTGTAATCAGCATCAAATCCAGCTGCTCGTTTTACACTGTTTTAGAATGAATCAATCACAGTTTAGTTTGGAGACCGCACAGGGTCCGTCTTTTTTGAGCAGTATTTCTTCATCAGGTAATGACAGGGCTGTCTCCTTTTGTAGGAGAATAAGACACACAACTTTAACGTCCACAAATACTAATCAAGACATTAAGATCGACATGATGCATACGACAGGTGGCATGGTGGGAGGACCAAAGCAAGGGGAATTAAAAGACGAACAAAGGGAGCGTAGGAGACGAGTATCGGTGCTTTATAGTCAAGGGCTGATTAACAGACATCGATGGGCAGACTTTGGAAATCAAACCAGACTTTACATACATATGAGAAAAAAACTTTTAAAGTTAAGAAGGAAATAGATTAAATAAAAATAGTCAAAAAGTAAAGCAAAAGCCACTAAAGGAAGTTATAGGCTAAGGTAAATAATCCAGGAATCTGAGTATTCGACAAAATAAAAGAGCAAAAGAGTTGTCGATCAAAACCGTATTTATTTTTTCCCTCTGTCCTCTCCCACGAATAGCCTAGTTTCACCTTTAGCTGCAGCAGGAAGAAGCTGCTACACTAATGTTTCAGACCATCTTTTCTGCCCAGTCATGCTTTACTTATTCTGCCCCTTTTTCATTGCTATTTTAAGTCAACGATGTCAATACATCCTCCCTCACATAGTTTAAAAATAAAGTTTTTACTGTCGTCTGTTGGCAACAATGAGACATCACATGGTACAATTTAAGGTGTTTCATATTAAATTATATATGTTTGGCTCCTCAGGCCCGGTGAGTTTTTTCAGCTGGAAAAGGTTCCTAACTGATTTAAATTACCCTGAAGTAACAGCAATAAAAAGCTGTTTGAATTTCTAGATGCCAAAGGGATGGATTTCAGTGGCTATTTATTTCCTTTAACTTTGGAAACTCTTGGACCATCCTTGAGGAGGGAACAGAGGTAACTCAGCCCCACAATTCCCTGCTGCTGCCGCACTTGAATATTTTCATCCAGTTCTGCAAACTGTGATTGATGTAGATAAGAATGCGGACAGCAGGGTGAGCGTGAGCAGCCTGCAAACCCAACATATTTAGCCTTTTCCTTCCTGTTTCATTACAAATTTTGATTGAAATGTCATATTTTATATGACAATTTACTGACTTGACGAGTGTGCTTTTAGTATTGTGGATCCTTCCACCTCTCATTGATAAGATTTTTTTAATTTTTTTACCATATTAAAACTGAGCAGTTTTAAATTATGATTGGAGTTGGATTATGATTTTAAAAAACTATTTTATTCTAATTAGCTTCAGTTGAATTGTATCCTTGAAGTTCCTAGAGATTCATTTTGTTGTGATTTGGTGCTATTTAAATAAAACAGAATCGAATTGAAAAAGAAAGTGAATTGCTTCAAACTTTGGTGATAAAAAGTTCAGATATTTTATCCAGTATGATGCTATGTAATAAGTGGCTGATTATCAGAGACATAATGGGAATAACTTCTCATACTCTCCTCTTTGCATCACAATGATGGAATTTCTCATCTTGGTTGCTAATTTCTCACCCCATGTAAAAATATCTTTCCTATTCTCTCTGTCATAGCCCTCCACCACCTCCACCCTTTCTGGCAAAGCTGCTGTCTATTAAACGGGCAGACAGTGGCTGCTCCCCCGTGAGCTCATTAGTGAGCCAGTCCGCACAGCCTGGGGAATGCTGGAACAGACCATTCTGCTGCTTCCCGAAGGGGTGCCCGAAGATTCATTATGCTATCGTTCAATGTGGTCCCTTGGTGTTGTAAACATACTGTGATGTTTTACGTTAGATTCATAGGTTGCTGATTTAAGTTGACAGTGACTGAGGAAATATGTAAGTGATGAGGAATGATTGTGACAAGTTCCCATGTGGTTGAAAATGATGTATCTATATAATAGATAATATGAAGCGACCAGGGATCATAGCCTCACTATTACTAAGTGTCAGAGGTGCATCTATAGATCCATGAGAAAAATCAATTCCCACAGTGAAAAAGGTAGACTTTTTCATCCAGCCTCTACAGGACAGAAGGTTTACTTTTTGTTGAAAGATTAATTTTTAGGATTTAACTCAGGAGGAAGATCAATGATTTGTATCCGAAGATAGGGAGTTCTACTCCCAGCCTTATCCGGGCCACATGGTCAAGTTAAAGTTCTTGAAAAATGCTGAACACCATATTGCCCACCAACAAGTCCTTGAATGCGTGCGATAGAGAAAGTAGTCCAGTGGACTACAAAAAGCGCTATGGCAGTACAGCTCGGTTGATTCTTTGCAGTATTGTCTGGTAGCTGTAAAGAGAAGTGTTGGGGCCTTGAATATGTTCCTGCAGACATGCCTCGGTGAAAAACTGTATAATGATAATTCCTGAATGATGTCAACACTCCAAGCTTCATGTCAAATACCGTTGATCTTTCTTCTTTCTTTCTCTCTATTTTGCTCCTGCCCTTCATTCTCGATGCGTCCTCTTCAGCTTGTCTAGGTCCTGGAATAGAATTAGGAGTTAATTCAACAAGCAGCCACTAGAGAATTGCCACCCTACAGCTGAGTTTATGGTTGAGCTATTTAAGCTTTTGAGAAGGTATTTAACACAAAGGATCAGACCAATAAAAACTGTGGAAATTTCTCACTTGATTGGTCCTTTGAGATGAATGTGGTTTGTGAGGAAACCAACCACAGCATAACATAAGACTGTTTGATATGATAGACCTTCACATGTCCTGCGGTGGTAAATGGAGTTTGATATACCATCAATTCATTATTTCTGTTGTCTTTTTTTCCAAATTCACACTCAGCAATGTGGATTCTCAGTTCAGTTTGGAAATATGCAACAATCATTAACCAGTTTCATCACTGTCACCTGCTTACCTTTCCCATATTACCATAAGAAATTAGCCCAGGGAAATGAATGCTTTAGCTTTTCTATGAGCCTTTTCCACAGAATATAGTTAACTTTGTTTTGGAATGGGGTCTATTGTATCTCATATCTAGGGAGAGTAGTGTATAAGTGATGTAACAGAGTGAAACACAATAATAACCTGACAGAGGCAATCACTTCTGTTCTACTTCCTGTCTTTTCTCACAATGACTTTCCTGGAAAAACTAATTTCCTCAGCCACAGAGATTTCATTAGTCTGGCCCTATTGTCTGAACACAAACAGCTATTCTCTCGTGATGCAAAGGTGTGTGGGCACATACAGTGTACACAAAGCGTCCACACATACAAAGCACACTAATTCATTCTCACTTAAGTGCATTCTCACACACCCCATCTCTTTCATTTAGATGAGCGCAAATCTAATTGTCTGTTTGTGATTACATTAGCTTTTTCTAACTTGCAGTCCTTTGCCCCATCACGTTTTCCAGTAATCGAGTTTTGAGTTGGTAACATGGCAATAAAATCTCAAACTGCACTGATATATCAACTTTTAAAATGTGTCTGGGGATTCTAGCTTATGAAATGCTTTGTTATCAGGATGTGATGAATTCATACCTGTGGTTCAATGCAGTTTTTGCATATTTCCTAAGAAAAATAGAAGTATCCCAAGAAGCTCAGAGGCTTTTCAGGACACCTTGTGTCTTCTCTTCCTCAGTGCCTGTGGTCGTCCTTTGGCGCCATGTTGTTCGTTTCTGTCCTAATCAGGGTCTGCTGGATCTAGATGTCATTGCCAATTTAATTTTTTTTACCTACTTAATTTGTGCAGGTTATGGGCTTTATGTACTTATTCTTCTTATGTGGCCACCGATGTAAAGTTGGTTTGTCTCTTTCACAGGATGATGCCATCGTTCACCATATGGCTGCAAAAGCCATAGAGAACATCTCCACAGTTGTGTCGGAACCCTCTCATCATCTGGTTAGCACAGAGATGGGCTCTGCCCTGTGGTATCTGTTCACGCACTCCACTGTAGAGGCTGTCAGAGTCACCGCCATCTCTGTAAGTTTACATGCTAACATGCACATGGTTGTGTCGGGCTTCTCCTCTCGGGGAAACATGAACACCCATATGTATACACACACTCACTCCACCAGAGCACAGACGGTGTGTTAAAATGTTGGTACTGAGAAAAAAAGCTTGAAACTGAGCCTTATAAAATGTTTTTAGAAAACAAACACGCAGTTCTTAGTAGGACATTAAGGTGAAACCGAAAAGTCCGCTAAAGAAAAATATGCGTTCCTTTAAATTTGACTAGCTCAAAACAATTTAAATTATTCAACAAATGACGACAGAAACTGCACAGACTGCGGCTTCATGGACATTATCTCAGTGTGTACGTGCGTTTGTGTGTTTGCTCAGTCTCTTTCCAGGTTAACCCGGGTGGACCCAGCAGTCTTCTTGGCAGTGATTGACACCTGTGGCCCTGCAGCCATCTTTGAGGGAGTAGGTGGTTCAGGGGCCAGAGGACAGCAGCACCTGCTCACTGCTGTGGCCACAGCCTTACTCGCTTCACACATCCAAACACATCGCATCGCTCAAAGCCAGGTGCACACCGCACTGTACTCCAAATATTTTTCGAGCAGCAAATGAGCTTTCTTTTTTTTTTTTGTAACACAGTTTTTAAGAGATGAAAACACAGCTAGATAAGATAAATGGACAACAGCATGGGGAACACAATTGACCTCAAATTGTCAAAATTTCCCATTGTTCTTCCCCTGTTTGTGTTCATCAGAGTACAACTTTTCCTCTGTCCCACACAGTTCATGACCTGAAACTGAACTGTGAATTAACTAATTTGTCAGGTTTGGCTTATTTAATTTTTTATAAGACATCCCTTACAGTGTGTATGTGATGTACTAATCTTGGTGAGGCAGAGGGGTGAAATTGATTAGCAGGTTTTTAACTTGGAATCCGGATTTGGTAATTGACTCTGAACTGAATTTATTTGCATTGGGCATTTCCAATTTAACACAAGAACACAAACTTAGTACTTCAACTCTGCTCTAATTATAAACTGATATGCATTCACCCCTAGCCCCTTGCACCCTCCCCCCCAGCTTTCTCTCCCCTGGCACAAAGACAGACAGTCCAAGTTTGTTTACACAGAACTCCGTCTCTTCATGGTGTATGTATGTGTGTGTGTGTGTGTGTGTGTGTGCGCAAAAGCACAAACTCTAATTTGTTTAGTGTGTCAGTATCTGGGCTAATTGGCTGAATATACACACTGCAGTCGTCTACTTGAGCAAAGCATTATGGGTAGTGGGGAGGGACTTATCAGCTAAGCACACACTACTGGGCTTTGAAATTAATTAACTTGGTGTGTCGTTCCATAAACACACAGACATAAGCATGCTCTCTCTCACACACACAGAACCACACACACCCTCACACAGTTGTGTACAATGTTGGTGGTGATGATAATGGAAATGAATGTTGGACAGTCAAATTTTCTCTAACCAATTACTGCTGCTGAGTGAATGGTTGTCTAAAGCAGCTGTGTATATGTTTGTGGGATAAAATGAGGCCTGAGCTGATTACATTTTTCACTCGATGATTAATGCATTATTCATTTATTAAATTATTTATGGAAATTTCTTTACAATTTTAAAAAACTTCGGGGAACCATTTTCATATTTCGGCTTCTTCTGGTTTGATAAACTTCCAGCTTTGTGGAAATGTTTCTCTAAAATACCGATAAATGACAAAACCGTTGTGTTACAATGTGAGCATTCTTAATTTGAAGGGAGCACCTCCATCGGTTGATTTTTATTGATGAATTAATTAAGACTGAATTGCAAAGCATCATTCATTGACAATGAGTTTCAGTCTTTTTTTTTCACTGGATTGATTAGTGTGTTTGTGTCTCGTAGGATTTGGTGTTGAAAGTGCTGCGCTGCCTTGAGAGCTCATCCATGGTAACGCGAGCCAAAGCGTTACTGCTACTGCTGCTGCTAATCCAGGACAACGCACACACTCTGCTCTTCTGCTGCCAGCACAGGTGAACAGCAGCACACTCAGGCAAATTTGCACCGCAGTCGTAAACAGACCGCGTGAGCGCCTCAACTCTGTAAAATAACGTTCTTATATTGGATCAGCTCAGAAGCAACTAGAGAGAAACTAACATTTTTGATTGTCTGGAGTTCATTTGAATATCATGTCTCAGTCTCAGTCTCAGTTCAGAGGGGAAAACTTTGGGTGCAACTGCCCTTTCCCCCCTTGGCAGCTGCGAAATGAAAAGAGATAGCTGCAATGCTCCCAGGTGGAAATATGATTCCTTTTAGCTAATTAAAGAATAACACTCTTTGATTGTTGTGGATTGGACCTCGATATTAAGACATGGATCTTGTCTGATGAGCTCTTCTGAACTTACCATGTTTCACTGTTAAGCCCCCCCATCTGTCTAACTGCATTGAGACTACTCTTAACTCCAGTCTTCCTGTCAGACTACTGGCTAATTAGTTCTCTGGAATATAGCTACACATGTTCACACACAGACTGAACTGTCAAAGTACAAACAAATAGCATTTGTGAATTCCAGTTTAGGGTGTGATTTCCATTCAATTATTTAGCAAGGCTTTCTGTTAGATTGTGTTCTCTAACCCACAGCTGCTACAGTACTACATAACCTCTTCTATACGCGTTGCTTTGCTAAACAATTTTGTCTTATACTGCTCAGAAATATATAAGATCTATGTATTCAAGTGTATCCACTCTGGGGATTTTAGAAAAACTTTGTTTTTGCGGGTTGAAAGAAAAGCTAAGCCAAAAGAGGAGGAATGCTAATGCTATATATCCTGTCAAACCGACTTGGTGATGATGCAAAGTCATCTAATGCTCAGGTCATTAGATAATCAAACAAACGATGCTGTCCATGCATGCTTTTGAGGAGTGATTTATTTGGAATCACAAAACTGAGTATGATCGAAACACTTCTCAAACGCTGTTAAGCACACTCATCTCTTATCTAGAGCAGATAGCTTTGAAGAAGGAGACTTCCCTCATGAAAGTGCTGCCTGGGGTTGTTGGCAGTGCAGTTGTACTCTGTGTAACCCTTGTATTAAACTAGCACAGCAGCTGTGGGAATGATAATATAAATGTGTGTTCCCAAGACTTCTTTATGTTGCAGCTTTACTGGAACTTCAAATGGTTCATTAACTGGTTGTCCTGGGTTTCACCCCTCACTATCCACTGATTATGGCAGATCCTTATGGTCCGATGCATATGCATGATTCATACATACATAAATCCAGTTCCTCTGCTAGTTACTTACCAGACTGCATTTCAGTTTGAAAAAGAGACCCTAAATTCCTGACTTGTAGATCTTTGGTGCGGTAACTGTTATTGGTATTTCATCCCTGCCGTTCTCCCTTTCGCTTTCACCAAGTTTGTTCAGTTTTCAATTATGTGTCCCTCTTTTACCTTTTTATCTACAATTTTCTGCCCAATCCATTTAAATTTCTGACTTTGGCCGCTCGTTCCTGCACATTGTGACCATTCAGGTGAAACTTTTGTTTTTTTAATGTGAAGTCCTGCTTTTTTATTTTTATTTACCACTTCATTGATGGTATGGACTCCAGTTTTATGGTTTAGCCATTAGACATCTGACCAAAGTTTTCAGGTTTGATGCTTCTGACTGCTTGTTTCTTTTGCTTTTGTTTTCATGTCGATAGTGTTTAAGGCTTTTTTTGGCAGGTGCCCGAAGGAGAAAAGTAAAGCAACACATGGAACTTAACAACCCGTTCTTTCACAATTCAAAACTGTTCCGTGCCAATCTTTGTTAAATTTGTTATAATTTAGACTGGTATTTATTTTCTTTAGGACACAGAATGTCTGGTTCTGTTTGTCAACCAAGGTTTTTGTGACACAAGGCCTTATTTCTTCCTGAAGCTGATTAACACACTGTATAAATCAATATTCACATTAGTGTAAATCATTAGGCATCCTCATTTACACCAGACTGTTGCATCTTTACACATTTAAACCATGAAGACTGATTCAGGACCCACTTGAGGGAATGCCTCCATTAGGCATCTGTTTCAACTTCAAAAGTGCATTAGTCAGCAGCTTAGCTGCACTAAATGCTGACTAAATGTGTTTTTCTAACAAAGCTTTTTATCTACTGTAATACCAGAAACTGTACAAGCACCTGTAAGTTAAGCAACCATCTTTTTGATAACAATCTCTCCAGCGAAGTTCTTCATTCTTATGCATATATGAGATCATTCTGGTTTGTTCACCACTGTTCTATTACATGGCAAAGACTACTGTGGCCAATAGAATTGTTTTTAGGAAATTCTTTCATTGGTATTCAGTCCCACTTCCAATGACTCTGCACTGGTGATGGGTCTTTATCACCTCTGGCACAGCATGGTACTGACTGATTGATCGTTACTATCTTTTTCTATATAGAGAATACAAGTTAACTAAGCATCACACTTCACAGCTCTAAAACTTTCAGTAATAGCAAAAAAATAGATAGATGAATTTCACCTGTCTACAGCTCCAGTTCAAAATGATTGTCAGAGTCCTAATCATTAAAGGAAACCCTGCTTCCCACAAATTTGTGTCTAATAGCTTATTAGCAGAACAGTTGAAGGGGTGATCCAACTGTGGTACAACTCGAATGGCTGAAGTATTTGCGGTTGTTGATATCTGAAATGAAACCACTCATAACTTCCTCAACAAGTACAGATCCACATCTCTAAAATACCTGTATTTAAAAGCACTATTTCACACTCTCCATCCTCACAAATGCACTGCAAACATGCACAAATTCACAAGTTAGTAAATATGCTGGCATGCATGTCCCATGTTCTATGGGTGGAAACTAATGCTTTAGAGTCACTTTATAGAAATCTGAAAGCCATGTGTAATGAGCAGGTGAAACGAGATCTGATTGTATCTCCTAAAATACAAATGCAGTTGACCATAATAAAGTGACAGCTAATCTAACCTGATGGAAACCTAGTAGTTTCAAAGCATTCTTTTCACTTAAAGGCCGGTGGAATTAAACTAAATCTTAGATGTCTGCAGCGATGGTGAGCAATTGTTCTGATAAATAAATGTCATTGTAGAAATTTCAGTATTACAAATAATTTGTTATCTATTTGTTTTGCTTCTACAAATGTATCTGCTGATTGGGTTTTATCGACTTATTTTGGCGAAGAATGCAGTGCAAAGGGTAAAGCAGTAAGCTTGTCTCAACTGAAAATAACTCAAATTGGAAGGTTTGGAATAAGTCATAATTAGAAATGCCCAGAAAACCATTTTTTTATTTGACGGTCAATAAAGTTTTATAAGAATCTTTTAGGGAATTAATGTTACAAAGTTTAAGTTATAGTAATAGTAGTCATGGTCATAGTAATAGTATTGTGGTGCATTGTTCTCTGCTCCTTTGACTATAATGTAAGTCTTCTCATTGTTATATAAAGACTAGGTTTTTCGGAGCAAAAACTTAAGGGCAACAAATAATCTGACAGTTAAATGTTGAACACTGATTTCCTGATTTATCTTTCTTTACATTATCAGGTGAATCTCTTACCATAAGTCCTCATTAAACACAACAGGGCAGAATTATGAGTGTTGACTTCTTTTCGCCATCCCTTCTTCAGCCAGCCTCCCCTGCCTGTGTGTCTCTGTTTTTCCGACACAAACACACACATACAACATTTCCTCCCAGTTGCTCTCTCTGGGTTGGAGTTGTCAGAGTTGACCTGCCCGTTTCTCTCCCTTTGAGAACTCTGCATGACTCAACCACTGACAGGCACACTTCTTTCCCTCAACCTCGTTCTCACCCGCTCATGTTGTGTTTAATTGGCTCCTCACAAAAATGTGCATGTTTTTATGTCCATGAGATGAAGTAGGCATGATCTCACTGAGGAAATGTCAAGATTGGCATTGAGAGTGGAATGTGACAGCTTTCAACACATGCAGTCATACACACTGACTCAATGGGCCACTTGTAGGTCAGTTGTGTGTGAGTGTCCCGCATGCACAGCAGAGGGGGGGCTAGCTCGCCTCCATTCATACAACCTCTGGCAGAAATGATGGAATCACCACACTTGGTGACTGTTGATACAGCAAAAAGGATGAACAACACTCAAATATGAGGGAAATGAGACAGACAACCATACATGCCAACATTGAATTGATTTCAGAATTTTAGTTTTGGGACCGCTGGATTAAACCCGAGGACTCAAAGGGAACTAACAGCTGCACAGAAAGAACTCTTCACACAGAAAGACCTCAGTTTAAATTTTAATCTAATCTTTGTGTCTAAAAGAAATAGCATGCTGTTAAAACCCTATTGGCTGCTTATTTCCATGCCTGGGAATGTATGGTTGCATGCACTTTGTGTTTCAATTGATCTGCAGCTCATGAAAGAGTTCATTGAGAATATGTGAGCAGGCAAGAACTCTGCTGCATTAAAAAATCCACCGTTTAAGACTCTGGTGCTAATGAATTTTAACCCTCAACAACAATGTATGAGGAATTACAGAGCTAAATCTGGACTTCTGCAACAATGACACTGGGGAGAGTAAAGTCATTTCTCATTGAATGAATTTGATGAAGATAATTGTTTTTCTACTTCCAAATGTGCGAGTCATGATAGTTGGCATCGGTGCCATGACTGCTCAAGGTACAGGACACGTGGAACAGGATAGAGGACACCGTGCCTATTCAGTAGACTGCCCATGTAAAAAAACAAAAAAAACACGCTGCATTGATCTTTTGTCTTTCCAACCACATTTGAGTCAATTGATTGGAATTATCGATTGCAAGGACGCTGATCATACCCAGATCATTGCTTTCTCCTGAAAGGACGAAATGTGATTAAACATTGATTAAACATCATTCTCTCTGTGCGGTGCTTCACAATCTGATCCTGAGTTGGCAATAGCTGGTGGTTTTACTCGTCAGTACAATGACAGTCCTTTTGAAACACTCGTGCCGCCAAAGTCACGGTAATTCCATTGAACTCCACGCTGCTGTAAACCCTGAATGGCAGTATTTTATGCTGCGGTTATTGAGGAAAGCATCTGAATTTATAATTCCTAGCACCAGCGCTAATCTAAAGCTCCGAATCAATACTCGTTCACTAGTATGACCTCTTTGAATTCCTGCATTCTTCTGCATTCATTGGTGCTCGGGTTGTGTTTGCTGATATGCACACAGAGATGTTTGTGTGCCGGTAATGATTGATAGCTTATGGTGGTAACCTTTCCTCCTGCTCTGAATATGTGATTAGAATAATATTGATTACTTTTCAGCAGACACAGTCTAAAGATGAAAAACATTCTAAAACCAGCATTCTCTCTTGGAGAGAACCTCCCTCCCTCTTATTTTCATACATTTTGGTCAAATCGTACAGCTTCTTTTGCATTTTAGCAATTAAGTTGACTAATGTTTTATTGTAGGAAAGACACTTCTTCCGTGATATGAATGTTTCAGAGTTGCTACATACAGAGGGGGAAATGAGCAGTTTCTGCCACCCTCTAACACAGCCCATGGTTGCCTCTGCCTCTGTCGCCATTTCTCTAGACTTGTGATGTATCTGGAGAAAGATAAGCGCAAAGCCACTCCTCTCAGAGAGAACACCAGCCAATCAGGATACCTGTCTCAGTGTTTGGAGCTACTGATTGCACATCTCAGTTCCACTGCTCCAGCAGTTATGGGTACGCGCTCACACCACTCTCAAACACTTTGAAATTTGAAATAGGAAATCTTCAAATGCAGATATTTGTGAGATATAAAGGGAAAACTGAAAATAAATACCGTGAAATGGCAAAAAACAAACTTATGTTGCAGTAAAATCAATCTGAGGGACCCTTGCATTCATTCCCACTTATTTAATCTTTTTGTCTTCTTTGTCTGTTGACTTCTGTCTCCTTCAGAGGACGTCTTATGCTCTCTGAGGAGTGTGATTGGGAGGAGACACCCATCTACAGCTCAGAGCAAACAGCTCAAACAGACTTTGCCAACTCTGTCTGTCATCCTGGAACTTCTCTCTTCTCAGGTGAACCTGACAATTTTCCATTTGCACTTTTTTTGCCTAATTGAACTGAACAAATGTAAATCAGATGACCTGCCTGCTGTGCTGCTCCCGTTCTCCTTCACAGACCATGTAGCTTAGATAAGACAGAGACCAGCGTCTGCTGTGCTTATGTGCAGCACTGCTAATTTTAACTTTCACATTTACTCTTTCTGTTAGACGCCCCATTACATATTCTCATTCTGTCTGTCTGCTTGACTCTTGGTCTCCCTTCAGGTCTTCAGACCTCGAATTGTAACCGAAGAGTTTCTAAATCAAATTGGACTCCTTCTTGTAAGTGTTTGGTTATCTTACTTCTAACTTGTTGTGTGTCTGCAGCAGTGGTTCTTACACACCAAACATTCAGACAGATAGATTCATTTGGAAACCTCACTTTAAGTTTAAAAAGAAAAAACAATAAGTCCACATATATGTTTTTTAACATCGTTCACAGCATGTGACAATGTTCAGTCAACTGAAAAACAAATGAGGAATTTGAACATAGAGATGCTAAACTGTTAAATACTTCTCTTTGCTGAACCATGTTAAATGTATTCATTAATTTAGTGAAGAATAAAAACAAACATCTCTAGTCAGGACACAGAACAATGAAATCATCTCATCTACAGTGTATGTTGCTAAACTGTGTGTTGTGTCGTTTCTCTCAGAACTGTGTAACCTCAGTAGAGTCCAGTCAAACTAATTTGGCCAGTGCTGTGGGTAAGTCGTTTTCCCGTCCCTGCAGAGCTTGTTGTGTCATCTTCTGCTGTTTTTACCACTGTCTTCATTTGTCAAACTTTGCTTCCCATGTTTTATTGCTCTTTTCCGGGCATTGGGTTTCACTACTGTGCAGAGTTTACTTGCGGCTCAGAGGTACTGATAAAATGAAATTCTCCATTAGGTGCAACATTATGTGAAGAGCTGATTAGAACAACTCTGTCCCTGGTGGAGGTCCTGAGTCAGCATCACGCTCTCATCACTCCATATCATCAAACTGTAAGTATGCCCCTGAGTTCCTGTCTGATTGACTGTCTTCTACTGCACCCCATGTACGTTTGACTGTGAGCCTGTTTGCCTCTGTCTGAGATGCAGCTTATTTTCTCCAATAAATCACAGTCAATTTAGGTCACAAAGGACTTCAGAGACAACTGGACATCATCCTGATATTTTGGTATAATTCTAGGGCTGTATGATTTTATAATTTCAAAGAAGATACTTAACGAGTTTCTTTGCTTGGATAGAAACAGACGGTTAAGAGTGAAAATTGACAATAGTTTGGGACTATTGAAACACCTCCATCACATTTAAACATGTACCTCTTACTCTGACTACTGCAGTGCTCTTATAGGAGCACACACAGTCATTGGCATTTGATTAAGCATGAAGAACACATGCTACTCCGGCAAACTGGCAGAATCAAATTTAAATCAATAATGTTGCTTACAAATCAACTTCAGGTTCTGCACTTTGGATTGGAAACCCCTTCCTTTCTCAACTCCACTCTCAGAAAAAGGGTCTGGTACTGCTGTCAGTGCAGGTTTCTCTGTTTTTACCTTGTACAATTTTTAAAATAATTCCATCCAAAGACACCTACTACAACATTTACAAGTCTAAAATGTAAATTTGAATTAAAAACACAAGAAAATTGAATGTATGGATGCAATGCAATAGGTCATATAGTGGTGGCTGGTATTGTTTTCAGTATGAGTCCATCCAGTTCACTGAACCAGTCTGCTGGAGATCAGAGGGCTGAGGGTCAAGCTGTGAGCTATTAGACAAGACACTAATCAAGTATTGAACCAACAGAACTTCATTGGATCTGTAGGTGTTTTTGTGTAAGTTTGTATGCGTCGATGGGCATTGGATGGAATCGTGAGATTGCGTTTAATGACTATTGACATTTGGAAGTGAAGAGCAACAGGAAGCAGACGGGATGAAGGGAGAGAAAAGAGAGAAAGATGAGGACTAAAAGAAAGGATAAGCGGGAGACTTGCAGCTACTGATTGTCAATAACACAGGAAGGCATTTTAATTACCCTCAGCCAACTGAGATTAGCTCCTACTTCTGCTGGACAAGGACATATACTCATGTTTGACACAGCTTACATGTCTGCCACCTGCTCACCATGAGATGAGAGTAAAGTTACCAGCAAGTTTGTATTTGTTTTGTTTTTTTCTTTTCAGACTAGGGGAAAAGGTTCACTCAGTAAACGGTTAGTTTGTTAGTCTTAGCTGTAAATCCAATGAGGGGTTGGTGGGAAAGACATCTTGTAAATGCAACATTTCAACATAGTAATGATAAAACAATGTAGATGGCTTCATTTCTTATTTTTTTGTTTTCTGCCTTGGGGAAATGGACACAGGCATAATAGGGTAAAAGAGTCAATACCGTCATACACCCACAAGCATGCACAAGTTAACACACACACACACACACACACACACACACGCACACACACAATCACACACACACACACACACACACACTCCATTCAGTCTTTTGATGGTCAAGCTATTAATACACAGACCACTAAGTGGTGGACAACATCCTTTGTTGTTCCTTTCTCTGGATTTCAATATAATGACCTCACACACTCTCAACATTAGTGTTGTTTCTATGGCAATATAAATGATCATGCAAATTCATGCAATACAGCTTCATGCCTCAAAAGGTGCTTTGACAGTTGCGGAAATATGATTGTCTCTGTTTGTTTGATCTTAAAACACACACACATTCATCAGTATTTTTAAATAGTAATTTAGTTGGTGCCTGCAGTGTTTCCAGCTTTATGTATATTAGGATTCACCCTATTTTGTTTTTTCTGTTAATCTACCAATTCAATATGAATGACAATTAGTAATGAATGCTTATTGCAAAAACAAATAAAAAAGTCTGAAAAGTTATGAGCCTGTGGTCTAAGCCTTAAGCAGCTTGATATTATGTATATTATTTATATATTTTCTACATGTTAATTTAACTTTTGTTTTCATTTTAGTTGTTTAGTTGTGTGTCCTGACATTTTTTCAGCTGAACCTTTGCAGAATCTGTTACAGCTCTGTTGTAACTGCCCTATTACAAAGGTCATCTTTGTCTTCTCTGTCTCTGTCTTCAAGGTTGTGGATGCTGTCCTGCCCCCTCTGACCACACTGGCTTTCAGCAGAAATGGTATGAACTTTGGAAAGAAAGGTTTAGGTTTTGAGAGGATAGTTTTGGGGAAAATAAATTACATGGAACAGCAGCAGGTTTAGAGAGATGTTACCATTTTGATAACGAATACCGAGGGACCTTCTGTTTGGGATTTGGAAATTGTGAGTTAATAGGTTGTTTTCTCTGCAGGTGTCTATTAACCCTCTTTCTTTGTTGTTTTTTGTGACTTGAAGTCACACTGTGTGAATCTAAAAGAGGTTGTAATGTAAAGCTTTTATTTTTCTTGTATCATTTCACTCTGGTAGGGTGGTATGTCAGTGTCTTATGGACTGTAAAGCATCTACTGGGAACATTATAAGCAGTGTTTTGATTAATAATATGTGTATTTTGTTGGGACATTTTTTAGGTCTGTTTTAACATGATAACTTGTCTTATGTCCATCTTAGAAAGAAGTTGTAATGCTCTCATAAAAACATTGAGCATGCATCTCATTTGTCATCCATCAACATTGTCTCCTAAAACTGTGTGATATCCCAGATTTGGATTTTAGGGTTGATTAATAACATTGGCTCTAAAATAATAAGGTAGCTCAAAATGATCCACACAGTGTGATTTGCAATCTTAGTATTTCAGCAGAATTTATAATGCATGTTAATTTCCCATCAAAAACCAAAAGCTACAGTGTCTCAACAAACGTGTCGGTCCTAAGGATTGGCCATACAGCACAAGCATTCTAGGCATATACTTGCTGCATATTGATACCCTCTCTGTCTCTGTGTGCTGCAGTGGAGTGGTCAGTCTTTGTTTTGAAGGTAATGTCTGAACTGAGCCTGGTCCTCCTATTCCAAGACGGTGATAATAATACTGAAAAGAACGAGGGAATGACAAAGGCAAGGGGGCAGAGCGATGAAAAAGAAAATGGAAAAAGCTGCAGTCAAGTCTCATCACTCTTCAATAAATGTCTGCTTTCAAGGTTTGTCCATCTAACAACAAGTCTGACAGTGCTATTGGATTCCTCCTGTTATTCTCCTGTTAGTCTTAGTTAGAACACAAAGCTGTGACTTGGCTTGTTGAAAAGCATCGTTAACACCGTTGCAAGCCAACCCCACCTAATCAGATATGTTTTAGTTCATCCTGTGTTTCTAATGATCAGTGTGCTAACACAAATGTTGTAATGTGACATGCTTATGTCTAGGTACGAGTCTCTTCTTTGTGCTGCAGAGCCAGTCCCGCTCTATGCTCTCAAACTGCTGGTATCGATGACTGAACACAGCACTCAGATCTGCAGGTAATACATAAGTAAACAGCCATTATTCTGAGATAACAGGAAGTTTTTGCAGGTAACAGATTTGTTCAGTAAAATGAAACCATCTACCTCCCCATGTTGCATACTTGTTCCTATTGATGCTCTACGGTCCTCACAGGTGCAGATACAAATACGCCCGGGCGCATTTTAACCACGGTGTGGAATGTTTTAATTTCAAGGCCAGTGCCTCCCAGTTCAGCTCTGTGAATCATTCACGGCCGCACACAAACTCATCCATGGATGTATTTGAACTGGAGCACCCACCATAATAAATGCATTCACAAACACACTCACCCATATTTTGAGCAACGATTTATCTACTCCTACAGTATACAGATATGAACAAGAGATCTTTTTTTTTGTTGATACTCATTAGCCCAAAATGTATTTTTATGATAGCAGTAACAGCATCCCAGCTGCATCGCTGCTGGTAATCTGCATTCAACGAGACCCTTTTCACACCTCTCGAGGCAGCTTTTCCTGCACTGGTAATCAGTTTACTGACAAGCATAAGGTGCTACATAAGCTGGGATGTGTACAAAGTTGGCATGTTGTTGTGAAATATGTGGGCAAACTAGCTACTCCTGAGAATCTTTGCTTAAAAATGTAATGCTTGCTGTTTAAATATACAACACCAAGACAAAATTATTACTGCATAATGTAGGAGTCATTCACTATTCAGGAATTTCAAAACAACTCTTTAGAGGGCAGTCATCTGAGTCTAAAGCTACAAGGGGTAATGATGCACTGCTGTTATACACAAAATGCCTTCTCTCACTTGGAGAAAACTCACGTGTATGTGTGTCTATTTGTGTTTTAGCTCATGTTTGTTGTGTACATTTGGGACTATAACCTGACTATATACTGACCATTGGATTTTTATCCTCGTGGGTTGAAACTGCCTTTTTCTGACTTAAGACCGAGCTTTACCACAGAGAACAGATTTTTCAGTGTGGCCAATGGGTCAATACCCACCTTTCTTCCATGTAATATCCCTCAAACTCGGCATATAAAGATCATGCCGTGCTATTTTAAAATAACCCACAATTCAACCCACTTTGCAGTCAGAGGAACATTTCATAAAAGAAATAGATTAAAAGGATGCATCTGCCTTAAAGCAAATCATGTGAAAAGCTATATCAGATTCACATGGTCAGTGTTCAGATGCACTGTGTTCACAATATACATGTTGTTGGAATCTCATTCCACTGCTATACCAATGACACACAGCTACACATCAAAATAGACACATTCCTCAATCGTCATTATAATCGCCATCAGTCAGAATGTCTCTCACAGTCCCTTCCTGTCTAAAGGAGACAAAAGTGTGTATTTCTGGCAGCTCCATAGAACCAAAACTGAAGCAGTTCCAATTTGACCACATATCCACATAAATTACATAACATACTTTCTTTAAAAACAGCAAGTTTCAAAGAGGAGGTCAAATCCTTCCTTTTTAAGAGACTATTTAAAAGCAAAAAACCTGTGCTTTTATGCTTTTTAACTTTTGTTCTGACTGTCAAAGTAGCTCTCTGAGGTCGCCTACAATGTGAAATAGAATGTGTTATTGTATTTGTTTCTATTATCATTAATACTGTTTTGATTGATGCATTTTGGAACGAAGTCCCCAATCAAATCAGTCATCAAAATTCTGAGACTCTGTACACACACATTTAAAAAGGTAGCTGGGTTTTCTTGGATTTCCACTGTAATGCTGAAATTCATTTAATACGTAGTTGTTTGGACAAGCTGCAAAAAAACATTTAGTGCTAAAAGGTAGAGGAAAAAACCAAGGCAAAGTCTGGAAGCCCATTTATAGTTAACATTCAATCTGTCGTTATTAAGTATTACGTTTTTAACAGCTACAATTAACCTTGTGTTTTGTCTTTAATTTTTTCTCTGCTTCTGCCCATTTATTTTATCTACTTCACCCATAACAAGTTAATATTTCTCTTTCCAATATCCCACACTCCATCCAACTCTGTCTGTCCCTCCTTCCTCTGCTCTTATAGTTTAAAGTTAATCTACATCACTACATATGCCCCTACTTCTCTTATCTGTGATTTTACCCCCTCTCCTCCTTATCCTCCTCTCCCTCCACCTCTCTTCTTCCCCCTCTTTCCTCGACACAAGTGGAGTGACGTGAACTTTTCAAATTGGTGTCAGCACTCCTCTCTACATCTGTTTTTCTCCCTCCCTTTTTCCTCTGACATTATTAACAACATTTCACTTTTTCTCCATCTCTCCGACTCCTTTTCTCTCACCATTGCTAATTTATTAACATTAGTCCTCAATTCTTTCCTTCTCGGTGCCCTCTCTCCACAACTTTTCCTCCATCACTGCGGTTATACAATCAGAAATTAAATTGCCTGGGTCTTGGTTAGATAAGTGTGGCTATGAAGCCAGCCGAGCGGTAATTAGATGGTAAATTGGGGACATTAACGTTGGGAAGGCAGCCTGGTGTCTCTCTCTGCATTATCACAGTCCAGACACACCTTCAAACAGCTACATTTTCCGTGACCTTTAGCCAAAGAACCTCGTGTTGTGTAGTTCCATCTGTGTGTTCCTGTGAATGTTAAATGCCCTTATTCCTATATATACATATGTATGTATATATAAATATATATATAAATATATGCTTAGCAAATGGAATGGCAGTGTTTTGTCTCAGATCAGAAGATGATTTCGGTAGTGCATTCATTTATTCATTTAATTTAAGAATCTGTTGTCCATTTTTTAAAGGTCTTAAGGAAGAACCATTACATCATGAAATCATATACACTAAAAGGGGAAAACTGGATGTCACATATCAAATGGAGGGACACACCTGGTGTGGGTCAATCCATTAAAAGAAAAAACCACATCAACAATAAATATCCCAGAGGTCATTAAAACGCTGTATCCCTCATGATAAAAATTCTAATGACACTAAAACCGTCTTACTTATCCACACTAGATGTACGACTGAAGGAGTGAGTGACTGTGCCATCAGTGTTTGTTCTGTCAGGTCATCTGTTGTGGTCTTCTGTGTTCTGTCTGTTATCATACACTCTGCCCGTTGATGTATGGCAGACAGTTTAAAGGGTCGCCAGTTTATCATGTTGTGCTGGCCCAGCCGGTCCTCTCATCTTTCAGCCTGTCATCTCCACAATGGAGGACCAGCCATTAGATCCAGAGACAAATACAACCCCACCAACACACACATTTACTGACCTGAATATGTTTTAAAACGGCTTAACCAAACAGCTGACTATAAAATACCTCATCAAGCGAAATGTTTTATTGATATGTAAACAATCAACATACCAAAGTATGAACAAAACTGGCTGAGTTTAATACTTTAAGCATGAAAGACTCTAGAATAGAGAGACAAAAAGTTGGAACAATTTGGAACTTGACTGAAACTGCCTGATCCAGTAGAATCTACAATCCTTCTTTTCGTTTTCTTCTCTTTTGGCAGACAGCTGAGAAATCAAGTGTTATTTGTGAGACTATTTTCTCAGCAAATATGAAAACAAACATGACATGAACACTACACCGCAGCAATATAAAAGAAACAAAAATAATTGCGAACAGCACAAAATATAAAAAACAACTGATTGAGGTGTAATGAACAGAATAAAAAGCCCCAAATTTCCATTTTCTTGCTGCACTCCCCCACAGAGCACAGCCTCCACCGTTTTGTAGGCTAAGCAGTGCTTTTACTCTGTACACACAATCCCGCCCAATGAGTTTTTTTCTTTTTTTGGTCTGATGACTTTAAGACGAGTTATAAATCACAGTTAAAGAGAGAACAGATTTTTAAATGAGTGGGCTGGCTTTGTCACCTTCAGCTTATTAACCCCTGTCTGATTTAAGTTAGCTTTGTTCCAATTATAGCCTGTGTCTGCACTCTAGAGAAAGCATGAAAGCAGTCAAAACATACCAAAGATGTGTGCTCATACTATGCACACACTACGACCACACTAAGTGGCTGTGAATTTAAGATCATTAATCAGTACGTAGACAGAATGTCATTTACCATACAGACAGCCATCTTTCTCCCTCCTCTTTTCTGTTCTGTTTTTCTTGTAATTTTTCTATATTGATTAATCCACATTACTCCCATTTTTCCTCCCAGCCCCCTTCGCCCCCTCATTCATTTGTCCCTTCACCTTTTTATCCTCTGTGAATTTAGTGCATCTCATATATTCCCATTCTGCTTTCTCCCTGTTGCCAAATTTGATCATCTTCTCTCATCTTTTCCTTAACCCTAAACTCTTTTTCCAAGCCCATTTGCATGCGTTGGCTCAGTGTGACTATATCGATCATCATGTGCGTGCTTATTTGCACCAAGTCTGAACTGTTCATCAAATATATTGAATTAATTCGTACACATTGTTTGTGTACCTCAGAATTTCTTCTCTCTGCTTTTCAGGTTGATCAGACACAGCCGGATCCTACCAGTAGTCTTTCAGCTCATCATGGTAAGAAACAAAGCTCAGAAAAAGAATGGCAGTTGGTCAAATATCAAAACGTTTTACCATCAGCTCATAAAATCCTGTTTTAATTTGTATTATTTATGGCCTTTCAGCTCTTTTTATGACTGCTCAGCTGAATTCTGTCTGCATCCGCCCTCCCCTGTGCTCACCCCCTCCATCTAACCTTTCACAGGCATTTCTATGTAAATTAGTCTGAGTGGTGTTGACCTATTAGAGGGCTGGTGTAATTGACTGGCAGACAAGCAAGCAACATAGAAGATGAAGGGTTAATAGACTTGGAATATGGACTCCGCTCTTAAGTCTAAACCCGAGACCTAACACACAAGCGCACAGCACTTGTCTGTTATCAGTGAGGCATAACAATGTCCCCAGTAAACAATTTATTTCACCTGACCCTTTTGCTAACACACAGTTTCGTGCACACGCCAACGTAGTACAATCTGTCTCCAGTAAGCCTAAATGCTTGTGCTGCAGGAAACAACTTTTACTTGGCACACACACACACACCCACACACACACACACACTGAAATACTTAATAATCAGTGTTCTGCATGGCTGCCTGCTCAACCCCAACTAGCTGATACAGAATTTTTAAACACTGTTATCCAGCAGCCTGATTAATTCGTCCCTTGATTGTTTACTGCTGTCTGAGCCACTTATGTCTCGGTACATTAGTGCTGTCCATATTGCTCACCTTTGGATTGATTTATGCTGCCTGAACTCCTCTGATCTAGACTGAGTACACCTGTCACCGGTGATCACACTTGTCATGGAGAAATTCAGCTAATTGTATTTGTCCAGATGATGAAGTAGTTCGGTTTCAGATGTTTAAGGACACGGAATTCTGGCTGTTTGACCGCTTTAACTGAAAAGCCAAAAGACTCCTCCAAATGTTTTTCTCTCTGTTGAATACTTTTGCAAATCCTACCTGACTGATACTAGTCGTGCGTATCATGGATTATTGGTTAACACACTGACAATATGAATGCCAACTGAGCTAAGGTGCAAGCTTCAAACTAAATTTAGGTTTGCCATCCCTCATTGTTGGTTGTCAGCTTTATGCCTTTTGTGATGTACACTAAGGTCTTTTTTATGTCTTTTTAGTCTATAAAGATGAAAATAGATTAGCCCTGTCATTTGTTATTACGGAGAGGCAGTTTGTCCGAGGCATGAATTGATGTCATTGTGTTCAGCCTCAGGCAAGCGTACATGATGAGTACCAGCCAGACTTATCAGCCCATACACAGATCCCACTGAAGTGTGCAGACCCTGGAGGCAGAGCTGGCGTATCTCAGAGAGGATCAAAAAGTGAAATGGGGGCAAGAGGAGGCAGGCGAAATGAATAACTGTAGGTGGAATGACTGATGGTTTTGTTGGGTGGAGAAAGATAAAGCAGAAGAAATTTAGAGGAAAAAAGTTGAGAAGGAAGAGGTTGAGTCAAAAAACTTGACCATTGTTTCTTCTTAAAATCAATCATATTGAACATTGCTTGAGTTCGCACTTCTATGATACTCTACTAACTGTTCAATCTGTAGCTCAAATGTAAAATCCAGTGTTTCCTTGTGCATCATAAAGAAATGTTCTCCGGAAAACCTATCAACATATTTATGAATTTCTCTGTTCTGCTGTGCTTCCATCAATGAAGTGTCGCGGAAACCTGCAGCAAAGTTAAAGCATTTCCTTTGATGACAAGAAAAAGACCATTTGAATGTAACTATTTTTATCTGATAGCACTGGCAGCTCAGTCCCCAGCCCGGCTGTCAAATGTGTGCCCATAGTGTCAGTTGCACTAGTGTTTAGAAGGCATGACAAGAAGACATGATGTTGCAGAAGACACGTGGGTGTCCTGCACCCAACAAACTGGAGACATGCTGAACTCCTAAAGTGGTAAAACCTCCACGAAGCAATGCCAAAATATCCATGCTGTGGATACACCAGACAGTATGTTCTGCTGCTTGGCAGAAAGTTTTGTCGTGTGACCCACGACACGTGTTGGTCCCGCCTGCCATGCGGGGTGTCTTTCTGCTAGCTGCGTGCTGGAAATGCTGCTTTCTGGGTCACAGTGTCTTGGTTTCACGCCGACTCTGACACACCAGCTCCTCATATTCATGTGTGGAAATCATCCAAATACAGAGCAGTGCTGGATGGGGGACTTAGGCAAAAAGTACAAAAAATACAAAAATACATGTTTCAGCAAAGGTTCCATAAAAAACATGAACAGATATTCATTCAAAGCTTGAACTTTTCATTTGTCAGTCACTTTTGGTTGCATGCAAGCAGACAGACCTTTTTGTTTTCAGCATTTTAGATTACTGAAAAACTTTAACTGGTGACATCACCACGGCACGTCATCTCTGTTTTCATTATCCATCACAAGGTCTCACACTGAGTGTGATGCTGAACATCGGATTTAAAAGATTATCTTGCCACGTGGTTGAATAGAGGTTGACAGTGTTATAAGATACTAATCTTACACTTTCCCTTACTTTTTCAAGGCGAACAGTATCACAAGTGGAATGCTCCAAAATGCAGTCGTCTTACTGTGTAATCTCAATGGAGACACAGTTATGGATGAAGAACCACTACATCAGCAAGGTACAGTATATCTACAATCTTTTCTCTGCTTTAAACATTTCTTTTCTTTTTAACCATAAGTTGTGCATGATGCTTATGTTTATATTACGGAAAAGCTGTCTGCAGAATTTATTCTATAGTATTTTAATTTACTATAATTTTTTATAAGTTCATTCACATAAAGGGGCAGTCTGTATGCGTTTTTGAAAAAGTGCTAAAGAGTACTTAAACAAATGTAAAATCAGGGATGAGGGATGATTACTGCTGCATAAGGAAGGCGTTTTAAGACATGAAGCACAGACATGTACTATATGGATGCAGCCCAAATCTAACAGAGGGTGCAAAGGCAGTAGATGAAAATAAAATGAGCATGTTTCCAAACCTCCAGAGTTGTAATTGTAACTCTACCTGATGAAACACAGTATTACAATCCTGGTTTTCTCTAAGTTTTTAATGGACTAATGCTTTTCGTTCTCTCCTTCACGTCTTCAGTATCATTCTCTCTATCTTTTCCTCTGTGAACATATATCTATTATCAACCCCTCTTCTCCCTCTGTTTCCATTGGGTCAGCAGTGCAGCAGTTCACTAGTCAGCATCATTATCATCCAATCCTCGCAACAAGAAATTGTCAACCCAGCACTGATACCAGCCGGGCAATTAGCGCTATCTCCATGTCTCCTTCCACCCCTTTTCTGTTTTCTTCTGTTTTGCTATTCTCCTCATATTCCTCCTGTTTGTCTTTCGCTACACTCCACTTTTCCAGTCTACTCAGCTTGCATTTTGCACCATCATCTCCTCTCCTTCCTCTTCTCTGCTCACAATTTTACCTTGCCCCTAGCCTCTATTTTGGGCTCTTCTTTTTCTCTCTCCCTTGTTTTTGTAGTGGTTCATTCCATATCGGTGTTGTGATGGAAGTGAAGAGAGGAGGGATAAGGAGGACGTGTGCATAATTGGCTTTTTAAGGTGTGACAGAGGGGGGGGAAAGGGTGGAAAGTGAGTCTATGCGTGTGTGTGTGAGAGTGGGTGTGTTTGTTATTAAGCAGTGAAATAGACAGTGAAGAGGAGCAAAATGGGGAGGTGTCTTTTGTGTGCTTGTGTGAATGTATTTGTGCTTATTCTTCCATATATGTGTAAGACAGAGATGATATGTGTACGTGAAACAGTGGATGCCGTGAAACCAAGTGTGTATAAGAAAGAGAGAAAGAGGGGGAGATGAGGTTTATAATTGGGCAAATTTGACTCTGACTGAGATAATACTCCCCGGAGAATGAGAAGAGAGATAGGGCAGGAGAGCGGATGAACAGAAAAAGAAAGACATTTGCTGAAAAGAAAAAAAAAAGATGAGAAAAGAAAGAGAAGACAAGCGAGCCCAAAAAGTAAAAGAGGTAAGGTTGTGGCAGTAAGGTGAAAGGGGGAAGAATGGGATTCACTGAGAGAAAATCGAGTACATTTGGGTTGGAGCCACACGGGAGGGTTGAGATTATAAAGGGAGGAAATTGAAGGTTAAAAGGAGCGACAGATAAAGAGAAGCAGCAGGAGAAGGGTAACTTGATTCCAGAGTAAGAGACGATTCCTAAACAAAGTTCTTTTGATTCTGCGTGATGTTGGATTGCTCACTTTTAATTCGAGGGCTCGTAGCAAACTAATATAGAAAGTCTGGGCTGTAATCTGATTATATAAGGATATGATGCCTTGGGCGTCTCCACTGAGAGTAAATGTGAAACCAATTTTGTGGGCACATTGAACAGCCGGCTGAGCGATTTAATATGGAAATGGGCACATCTCGAATACATATAGAGCAAAATTCAGCCCAACATTTCTGAACAAGTAGCACCCTGAGCTGTCTGGAAGTTTGGCCTAACACTGACATGGTGTAAAATAATTCAAGTCTGTTTTTAATGAATCACAGAAGTTCTTGTCCATTCTGTACAAATCCTAGAGGGCCTTTAAGGTTTCTGTCTGGGTTATAAATAGTCACTAATCTCTGTTATTTCTTTTGACCGTCTGTACCAAACTCATCAAAACATTTTCCGTTAATTGCTTCTGTGCAGGTGTTATCCGTTTTCAGGAATTCGTATCCATAAGTTTCCATTTGAAATTACTTTCTGGTTATTTCCCAAATGGTGTCTCAACACAATCTATATTGGTTCATTCACACCGTGCCCATATGTGTCCGATCAATACTAATGCCTCCCAGCATAATTTATACTACCAAGAACTGTCTTCCATATTAATGTTTTGTATTAGTAAGCCCCCCTAAGAGAACACTGAATTGACAGTTTCTCTTATTGGAACTCATTAGACCACTCAAAAACTAAGTGCATGATGTTTTTGAGTTTTCTTTAAGTCTGCTTTGCATGGTCTGGATATTGATTCATTAACCTCGATAATAACGACTGTTTCATTGACAAAGTACATCCCAGTGTGAGCATTCAGTTGTAACATGATAAATGGTTAAATTATGGCAAAATGGCAGAACACTACATAGTAGTGGTGGTGATATCCATGTGTATGAACACAATGTGCACAACCTTTTATAATAATTCTTCTTACAATATATTTTATATTTATATCTAATGTTTTATTATTATATTAACCTCTTGTAAGGGAGACAAAAATAGAGAACAGTGATTTTCTCTCATAAATTAGATACATGGTGTTGAAATGACATTTATACATTTTCTTGATTACTAATTGACAGATTATATGTAAAACGGCCTGGCCCGTCTGTATATGTATGTCTGTATTTGTTATCTTTTATAGCACACACCGACACACATTTAAAGCTGATACTGGATTTTGATTGTGGCAGCATAAAGAGTTTATTAACTATTAGAAGCTACAAGTGAGTATGGCATTTCACATTTAGGTTTTTTTCTACTCATGGCAGACCTGAGCCATGAGGGAAACATGAAGTTTATTTACTGAGGCAAATCGAGTAGCTGTGCAGGGGATGCTTTTAAACCATGAAATCATAATGAGAGGAACCAGAGGTTGTGTCATATGTGTAAACATACTGAGCAACCGCAGTTTCTATTTTCACTCTGTTTTATGATTACAAGTTATTATCTTAGCTGTTGACATTTAACTTTAGGAAACTTTTTGAACTTCTCGTAGTTCAGTTATCGCCAACATGTTTCTGTCTTTGGATCCTCTGTGGTTTGTGCTGTGAAATGTGGGAAGCAGTTTAGAATATGAAGATAAATGCAGCCAGCTGAATGTTTTCATCAAAGAAAAGAAATGTTTAAAAAAAACAAAAACTGAAGAGTAAATGTAGAGCCCATGCATGCCCTG